CATTCATCTCTTCTAAGATTTAGCTGTTAGGAGTTGCACTGCTATAAACAGTGATACGCTGTAATATGATGTCCTTATCTCCTCCAGGAAGATACCAGAAGAGGTATGGCTGGGTTGGATGGAATTTCTAGTTTTAGTTTTTTGAGGAAGGTCCACACTGATTTCCATAGTGCTTGTATTAGTTTACATCCCCACCCACAGTGTAGGAGAGTTCCTTTCCCCCTACAGGCTCCCCGGAGTTTGTTGTTATTTGAGACCTTGATGATAGCCATTCTTCCTGGAGTAAGATGGAATCTCAGTGTTGTTTCAGTTTGCGTTTCTCTAATGGCCGTAGAAGTGGAACACTTCTTCCTGCAGTTATTGGCCACTTGGACTTCCTCTGAGAAGCATCCCTTCATTTCCCTTGTGCGAGGTGCCACGTTAAAGCGGTGGTGCCGTGCCTGGTCACTGAACTCCCGTGGCAGCTTTGGGGTGATGCAGTGACTCCCCGGTTGAACAGCCCAGCCTTTTCTTTAAACAGAAGAGCAGTGTGCCCTGCCGTCCTCCAGGGATTTCAGAGCCACAACACCTTCAGGTAATTCTGTCCCCAGGTGTGGCTTTGCATCTGGCAGAAAGAAGCATGAAAGCAAGAGCTCTAATTCTGTGTTTCCCACTAACCTGGGGGTGTTTTTCTTCATTTTGTGGGGAGGGGCCCGGGCGTGTTTTGGCGTGTGTTTCTTCCTCAGTGAAATAAGTACCGTAATACTATTGCTGTGTCTCGTGCCATCACCCCGAAGCATAAATGTTAGGATAATCTGTGCTTTAAATGGACTAGGAACAATTGCTGTGTTGCACTTTCCCTTAACAAGGTTTGCATTCTGATTGTTCTCAGTGCTGTCTAATTAAACTCACTTCCGCTCCTTCAGTGTAGGCTGGGATATTACATTTGCGTCAAGACCGTATACATTCTTTGTTTATTTAATCTGATTGCAGGCTCTACTAACTCTGATTCCATAGTTTTCATTCTGACTCTGTCTGTTGAAATGTAGTTCGAAGCTAAAACGAATCAGGCGATTGACACCGGAAAAGAAGTTTAGCATTAATGTGTGTGGCCTTTATTAACTCTTACAGCCTGAAGTCATCATCTCAATTTTGTGTCTGTTAAATATCATTGAAAGTACAAGATCTTACTGCAGGATGTTTGTGTCTAGGAGTGAATTCTTTTTTCCGAAGTTTTAAGCAACTGTGATTTATGGAGGTTTTATTTACAATTTCTTTCTTGTGTACATAATTTTGGGGGGATTATATTGGGGTTTCTGTTGCTCTTTCTTTTTCCTCTTCCCTCCCCCACTGCCGCCCGCCACCCTTACTCCCTCCGTCCTTCTGTCTTTTTTTGTTAGTCTCGGGGATTGAGCCCAGGTCCTTCCACATGCTAGACAAGTGCTCTGCCAGTGAGATGAGTCCCCAATCTGGACGTAATTTTTAAGACCATCATAAATGCTGTAGACTTTTAAAATGATTGCTTACATTGAGTGGAACAGGAAGTGGGAGATCTGTTTAAGATATTCTGAATGACAACATAGTAAAATTGGTAGGTGAAAGTGAAATGATTCTCCCGAAGACATTTGTGAAACAGATCTACCAGGCACAGTGGCGCAAGCCTGTACTCCCAGCACTCTGGAGGCTGAGACAGGAGGAGGCCAGCCTGGCATAGTGAACTCAAGGCTAGCCTGAACTACATAACAAGACCCTGTCTCAAAAAAAGGGAAAAGAAACAAATGTAAGTTTGCGTTGTCAGTGGGGCTTGGGGTTCCCCTGTACCATCTGAGCACAGTGGTGTCCATGCTTCTTTCTCTGTGTGAGCAGCAGTTCAAGTCCGAGTAACAGCCAGGCGCGCTGGCGCACACCTGTACTCCCAACTGCTACCGGGGGCGCTTAGGGGCAGGATCCAAAGTTCAGAGCCAGCCTGGGAAACTTAGTGACACAGAATATCCAGATAAAAAAGGCCTGGGGGAGTAGTTCAGTGCAAGGCCCAGGGTTCAACCCCAGAATTACAAAAAATAAACAGTAAACTAAACAAAGAAGCCAGAGAACATAATTGTACATGAATGCTGATGTAACTTAGATCTCCACTTTCTTCTCAAAAAGAGTAATTGTTAATACGAGGTTGACAAAGATTTGGAGGGATGCATACAAGGCATTGTACGCTCTCGGTTCTTTTCAGCTCATTTTCTCATCCAGTATCTAATTTAATCAGCGCAGCGATCCATTGAGCGTGTTGGAATGTTTAATAGAACATTGCCTTTCACCCTTTCTTTGTCTTCCTTATCTTGTGGAGGCCTGTAACGTTCACTGTCAACAAAAACTTGAAAAACACACATATTTGAAATATAAATGCCCACCCTGGATCAGATAAGTAGAAATGTTTCAAACTAACAGTGCATTTTTGTTGTTTTGGTTCTTAAAATCAGCACTAGCATCTGTTCGGCCCTGACAGTCTTATCGAATAATGAAACTCCAAATTCATTCAGTATTCATTCGAAGTTAATAGTGTTACATCCACATTCATTCAAAATGCATCTTATGTATGGTTTTCAAGCTTCTCTACTTGGAGGATAACCCTATTTTGCCTTTCTCTTAAAGTATGTTTAGTTCTTCAACCCTCTGCCTCACGAGTAGCACAGGAGGTATTGACCACATCTTTCCCTAGTTAATGTTTTTATGAAATAGAATCGCATTATATTGATTTAACTGGTACATAGTCAGTTGGAATACTGGAAGTAATTTCTTAAAGATGTCCAGTTGTGAACTTGAAAATGCATAATTTAAAATAAAAGTTGCCTAATTGTAAGGAGTGCTGAGAATTGAGGTGTATTTTAGCAGTCTGGGGCAAAAGTATTAGCAAAACTGGAAAGAAGTCTTCCTTACTGGAGTATGTAATTGCTATCTGGGAAAGAGACACATGTGGTTTAGCCCTTGTCAAATTTTGGGTCTTCTATAGGCTTGCAAGAAATATTTGCAAGTCAGTTTTCACTGGGATTTCAAACCAGTGTTGCTAAAATGTCTGTGTTACTCTTTCATTTTCCCCTCTTTCTCTAACGAGGCCTTCACAATTTAGGTAGCTGAACACTCTGCTTTCTTTCTGTTATTCTTTTTTCAAAACTTTCAGGAGTCTCTTACCCATAATAGGTCCAAAGCTTTTAATGTGCGTAAGAATTTGAACTCGGTGTGCCCTTCTGTTAGAATCGTTCGTTTGTGGTAGTTAGATTGATGCCTTCAGCAGATGTTTACTGAATGTTCCCTGGGTGCCGGTAGTGCGTTAGGTACCAGGGGTCAGCAGTGCGCGGGCTTACAGTCTTGGGGTTTATTTTCTTCTCAAGAATGGGAGACTATGAATGAGCAAATAAAGGACAACAGTAACTTCAACACTTAGGAGATAACGGAGTATTAGAAATAAGCCTTGTGCGTTCCCTCTTTTCCGGTAATTTTTTACAATCACTATCTTTATCTCTTATAGGCTAGACAGCTTAGATTTGAGTATGAGTTCACTGACCAGCTATGTAACTGTTGGCAAATTATTTCTCCTCTCTGTTTCTCAATTTATGCTAGGGATATATTAATAGAAAACAACTCATAGGGTTCTTATGAAGATTGAATCAGTGAAGTCCACAAGTATATAAAACAGCACCTGATACAGTTAAAGACTCAATAAAAATATGCTATGTAAAAGTTTTTTTTCTCTTAAAATATTTCCTCAAGTAGGAGTGTAGAGAGAGGAAATATGCCCAGTACAGAATCATATGTTACTCTGAAGCTGGGTGTGGTAGGTAGCTCATGCTTGTAATCCTGGCTACATAGGAAGCTGAGGCAGGATGATTGCAAGTTTCAGGCCAGCTTGCCCAACTGAGTGAGACTCTGTCTCAAAATAAAATAAAAAGGCTGAGGCTATAGCTCCATGGTAAAGTGCTTGTGTAGCTAGTGTGAAGCCCTGGGTTTAATTGCCAGTAGTTGGGGGCACGGGGAGCCCTCCTAGAGGGTCATATGTAAGTCTTATATTCACTCACCTGAAAAACACTTGTCTTCATTGTGTCAAATTGAAGGAAAAGAACACATCTAGAATAATCTAAATTCTACTTGTTCTACTTTCTGCTTTCTTACGAGGTGTCCTAAGCAGGCATTAGTATCTTACCCACTTAGTTCACAGTGAACAATTCAGACTTACTTTCTAACAGCTTTAATTTGCAAACTGTGCTGATGAAATTATGTTCATTTTGGGACTATCTCCCTGCTGTCTAGAAACATAATCCACTGAACTCACTTTCAAAGGTTCTCCCCTTTCTGCAGGTCTGTGATGCCTCTTTCCCTTCGCCGGTTCTCTGTTCCTGCCTCTGGCCTCTCGGGTTCCCCCACGCATCACGCAGCCATCTCTTCGTTCGGCTCCCTCCTTCTCGTTGGCCTTCCAGTGTGGCGTGCACAGCACTGCCAAATCCACAGCCCGAGAACCCGCTTTTGTACTGCCTTTGATCTCTTAGCAAAGAGCCCAATCCAGCCGGAGTTGCACCCTTCACAGTGGCAGGTGTCTGCTTTGTCCCTGCCATTGACACTGGGTGTTCCCCATGAACTGGCGCTCTTCGTACAGCTCCAGGGGGCTCAGTCCTCCGGCCAGTGCTGGGCTGCTGTTCTTTCCATACCCTCTGTGCCTCCTGCTCTAGACAGAAGTGTCATTGTTTTCCAGGCTGGGGTAGACCAGATTTTCCCTCTTCCAGGACTCTTTGTAATTAGTTCATAGCATGTTATGTCTTCTCTAAAACATAGTGATTGACTCTTACATTTCTATACTAGTGAGATGAGTATTCAAACCCATGCAAAACATGGCTGCTGTAAATTTTTTCACAGAATCGCTAGCAGTGCTGACTTGAAATACGTGCTTCACGAATGGTCATTTTGCTGGCGGTCTTTGAGGGTGAACTTTTCTTTTAACGGTCTCCTCCCACTTAATGGTTTTCCCTTTGGTCCGGTAGAGGCTGCGAGTCGGGCCATCGTCCAGTTTCTGGAGATCAATCAGAGTGAAGAAGCCAGTCGAGGGTGGATGCTTCTGACAACTATTAATTTGTTGGCATCCTCTGGTCAGGTGAGTTCTTAGTTTTCATGTTCGGTGCATTAACCTCTTCATGCTGTCTTAGGATTTTGTTATTAAATTTATTGTCGTGCCCAAACAAGGTATTGTAACCATTGGGGTGCTTGTGACCGCTCTGAGATAGCACGTTATTTTTTCATCTCTGGGTGAGGAGCTAGATATTTTTGCACTTTACTGGTGAGTTGATGCCTGGGGTAGAGGGCTGGCTTCCATCTGTGTCATGCTGTGAGGTGCAGGAACTGGCACCGTGCTTCCTGCACTTGGGCAGAAAGCTGGGCTGCTGTGGCCGGGGCAAGGGGACCCGGAGCTCTGGGGCCGTCCCTGGAGAAAAACCTGCTTAGAGAAACTCTGTTTAGAAAAATCACATGCATCTAAGTTTACTCAACTACTTATTAGGAAGTGGCATGAAAAATACTTGTACAGTTTTCTGATTTTTGTAGAAAATAGGGAACATTGACATTTTCAAGCTGAACCTGAAAATGATTGCTATGGAAATTGTTTTTATCTTTCTGAAATCAGCTTTAAGTACATGTCATGATACAAGTCGCTTGTACCTACTAGAGGGCCATTTGGATGCCTTGGTGTTGGCCTTTCATTTTGGGATGAGAGAAGTTTATTCAACCTTCTAAAATCGAGAGTACTCTCACAGTCATTACCACCCTTGGGAATGGATATCACCTCAATTATGCTGGACATTAAACTCCTCACACTGTTTAATAAAGAGTTTGTAAAGGTGACTGTGACACTCTTGTATTATAGTGACTAGTCACAGCAGCAGTAATCCATTAAATTAATGAAATTAACCATTTAGCTTTTTTCCTTGAGGTGGTCTATTTTCGTTTTTTGCTTTGTTTTTGTTTTGCTGTTTCCTCTGTTGGCTTGTTTTATTCAGGGAATCAGCTTGACCGATTTGTCTGGCTTTTCCTGGGACTCTCCAGGGCTGAGCATAGCAAATGCTGCTCTCGGGAAACCCCCAGTCCGGGGCCTTTGGGGCTGCTGTGGCACCCTGAGCAGCCTCAGAGCCCTAGCAGAGCGTTGTTTTGTGGGTCTGTGACTGTTCTGGACAGCTGACAGAAAGCCAGTTCGCATGCTGTTGAGAATAAACACCTCTGTGCCACTGTACCCAAGTCAGACTTAGAGTAGCATATCTCTGTGTGCTATTAAAATGTCAAATTTTAATTTAAATCACTACTCTTTGCATTTGCTATTAACAGCCTTTAATTGTAATCGTCTAAGTCCAACTGAGACGTTCTGTAGGTGCTGTATCTCCCTTCTTCGGTTGGGAGCCATGTATCTCCACCGCGGTACCTAGCACACGGTAGAAACCCAGTGTGGGTTAACTTAATCACGCACAAATGGAGAGACAGCCTTAAGAGTGTAAGAAAAGAACCAGGACAAACCTAATCACTTACAACAATTACACATGCTGCCACATACTCATTTGGATGCCAAGTTATACTTTAAATCCATCAGCAATAAGATGAAAATGAAAAATCATCCTGCTTTGCTTAATGGGCAAGGAAAGCTAGTAATAAACCAACTGGAAAATAGTACATTTGAAAAGCAAATTTAGTGTTGTAAATTAAGCGCCTTTTCTATTCGAGTGCCATTTTCTGGCAATTTGCTGGCATTTGCTGGCCATTTGCTGGCAGTAGCAAAGCACAGAGCAGAGTGAGACGTGGTCCTGACTCAGCAGGCAGATGACGGAGAGGAGGGAGGGAGGCCCGTCAGACACAGTCGTGGTGTGTTCAGTGCTCGGAAGGCAGAAATGTTAGCGCTGAACGTTTGAAGGTCAGAGTAGGAGGAAGGATGAGGAATTGAGGGACGCTGGTGACAGAGCAGGCATTTAAACTGGGGTGTCAGGGAATAGGGAGGGGCCGGAGAGACAGCAGACCGCTTAGGGTTTGGGGTAGGAAATCACGTTGGATATGCAGAGGGGCCCGGGTCTTGCAAAGGAAGTTCCTGAAGCCCTTTCTTCACCAGCTACTTCTGCATTTGTTTGGGCTCCGTCTCTGACAGTTCCCTGTGTGACTTTCCCTATCGTCCCGTCCTTCTGGCCCTCTGTGTTAATTCACAGTCTTCGCCACCATCAGTTAATTTTCTGAACCCCAAGTATCGCTATTTTGTTCCTAACGCTTTATTAAGTGTCCGCTGCTGGTAAAAGTCAAGCTGCAATGGATGCGAGCCCATTTCCATAGATTGCTGAGCACGCGGTGTGTGGATCGCTTTGCCAGCTCTGACTCCCAGCAAGCCGTGGAAAAGGCTTGGTGGCTTCCTTGTAAAACAAGGGCCGTGCAGTAGTAGTGTCCACCACACAGTGTAGACTGGAGGAGTAGAGGAGCCCGTGCCTTCCAGGGTCTTAGCCTCATACCTGGTGTGTGCGGTGCCTCTAACGGAAAAGGAGCTTCCAAGGAGCCAGCAGGTGGGAACTCTGGTTCCTCAAATGTGTGGTACCGCGTGGCCTAGCTTTGTGTGTGTCTTCAAATGACCCTCCCCTTATTTAACTCCTTGCACTTTTCACTCACATTCCTGGCAGTGTGGATGATTCCCTTTTATATTGGCCTGTATACATTGCCATTATCAGACGTGAGACATGAAATCACAGCTGCTTGTGACTGTACCACTGCTAGTAGACATCTGCAGGACAGGGTCACTTCCTTTCACCAGGCCCAGCCCCCGCAAACGCTGCCTGACGTACCCTAGACCAGTGATGGCAAACCTTTTAGAACTTTCAGTGATAACAAGCAACTGACCGAGGCCCACATGTCATAGGTTCGCCACCACTGCCCTGGACATCCAGTACATGTTTGGTGAGAAAGTAAATAATCAACAGTGATGCCAAGAAGACTTTATTGCAGTAAGATTTCTTGTACCAAACTCTCATGGAAAATTTTCATAATTCTTAAATGTCTGGAAAATATTTAAATGTTTACTGTAATTTCTTTCTTTGGAAAGAAAACAATACAAAGATATACTTGTGTCCCTGATGCCTATGTTTCTCAAGTATCCTTCTAGATCCAAAGATCTATGATATGAATAGAGATAAAAATGATAGTAAAGCACCAAATATATAGTTTAGTATTTAATATGTCTTTGCACTTATCGTAGTAATCCTAAAATATGTCTCACTGTATTTTATAAGAGAGAAATGGAAGGCCCAGGAAAATTAAGTAGTTTGCCCAAAATCCCACAGCTTATGCTCTTTGAAATATGCTGCTTTTTAATGAATAAATATCAAATTTAATAAGTAACTTCCTATGTAAAAAACCAATCTCAGTATTTGATTTAAGCAAATTTGTCTAAATGGGAAATTATTTCAATTATTTCTTAGCATGGGGTTATTTTGTAATTCTTAAACACCTTTTCAAAATCATAATTTTTCAGCTTTAATGTTTGTAAATTACTCAGCTGTATCAGTAAATTACGGCCACGACTGTCTATCCATTCACTTGTTTATTGGTTTGTTTTCCAGAAAACCGTGGACTGCATGACAACGATGTCAGTGCCTTCCACCCTGGTTAAATGTTTATATCTGTTTTTTGACCTTCCACATGTGCCTGAGGCAGTTGGAGGTGCACAGAATGAGCTACCTCTGGCAGAACGGCGGGGACTCCTCCAGAAAGTTTTTGTACAGGTAGGGAGGGCCCTATCTGCCTGGTTGGGAATCTAGGGCTCAGCAACAGTGAAATCAGAGGCCCAGCTAAACAGATCTTCTGCCTGCTCCATTTTCATAGCATCGCGCTGTAACCTGATCTCACAATTGTAATATTTCTTGTATCAGCAGAGAGAATATTGAAGTATTCTTTTCGGGAATGTTTAAGTACAGCAGCAACAAGTTCATTTCTCTGAACAGATTTTTAAATTACATTTGATTTCAAAATTACATTTGATATAGCAACAATATCTCTAAAATGAGCTAACCAAAGACGACTTTTTTGACAGTCATGTTAAGATTTGGGTATTATTTTCTATAATATCAAGAAATCGTTTTCAGTTACACCACTGTCTTAGTTATTTTTCTCATAACTGAGACAAAATACCAAACACCTAAAGTTAAAGGAGGAAAAGTTTATTTTGCTTACAGTTTGTGGAGGGTTCAGTCCATAATCAGCTGGCTCCAAGGTAGGGTGGCATGGCAGACGGCCATCACAGAGAAGAAACAGTTCATGACAAGACAGGACAGGCAGAAAGCAGCCAGCAGTGAAGTAGCAAGCAGAAAGCGACAGCAGCAGCCCTCCTTCTATCCCTTGTATTCTGTTCAGGCTACCTGCGCTCAGGTAAGACAGGTAGCACTCATGCCCAGGATGGGGCACCCTTAATTCTAGCATCGCACAATAAATCAGTCCCAACAGCATATCCTTCATCCCAGCATCACACGCTGAAGATCCAGCCGCCTGTGAAAAGCTCCACCTGTGACCTGTGACCTGATGAGGCTTGGGGGGACATCTAGATGTAAGCCATAACTACTGCTTGTTTACATCCAAGAGCTCCTAGCCGGTAAATACTGACCTTACAAGGACAGTGTATTTTCGTGGCCACCACCACCTCCCTCGCCCTGCCTGTAAAGCACCCCCGCTCCATTACCGCTGTTCTAATAGCGCTGTGGGTGAACAAAGGTTCATAGACCTTTGCCTTCTAGCCTGCCAGTATAGTCATCACGGATGGTAAACTTCCCTGGAAGAGAAATTTTAAAACAAGCAACCTGTAAACATTTAGAATGCATTCTATCTGTGGACCTTTCTAATACAGTGTGAAGAAATGCCTTTGGCACGTAGAACTCAGCACTGCGTGATTCTTCCCCTATGAGGTATCTAGAATCATCAGGCAGGACAAAAAGAAGAATGCAGGCTGTAAGGGATGCAGAGAGGGAAGAAGAGGGAATGGTTGCTTACGGGAAGAATTTCTGTTTTGCAAGATCTTTGTCCTAGAGCCATGTTACACAACGGCATGCGTGTAATTCGCACTCTGTGTACGCTTCAGGTGGTTAAGATTGTATCTTAAACGAGTGGGTTTTTTAAACTATTATAAAAAGTAAAAAATAACAGCAAAACCTACATCACCTAACATGGAGATTTTTCACCTGTAAAATGAAAATAATGGCATCTATTTACAGTTAAGGTTTACAGCGAAGGTTAGACAAAGTACTACCTAAAGCTGGGGCTCTCCACTGGGCACATGGTTGCCATTATATAAAAGTAACTGTGATTGCTGCTGCCACTGGGAGCGCAGGGAGGGCACGCGGTCTGTGTGCACAGGTCTCAGGGGTCCAGGGCACCGGGCACACCCACCTCCAGTGTCTGCAGGACCGACTGCAAGTGTACTGGTGCAAGGCGGTGAGAGAGCAGAGGGACACCACACAGTTCAAGATGGAGAAGACCAGATTTTCAGACAAAGTACTCAATAAGTATTTACTGAGCGATTGATTAATTAGGTACTTTTGTGCTTGTGGGTGACATCTTATATAACTTGCAGGACATCCCATAACTTCAGAGCTTCTCTTCCCCCCAAAGTGATCATGTGAGCAGATGGGAAAGCAGGGTTAGAACCCAGGTTTGTCTGAGCCTTGAGTCCCTCAGAGGAGAGCACGGAATAACTGAAGGGATAAACCCAGTAGGAATTAAAGCTGCTTAGGACCAGCCTAGCGGTGGAGCGCTGTGGGCTAGGTCTTTCCTAAGCTGACCGGCAGGCCGTTTCAGCAGAGCTCTTCTAAGGAACTCATTAATCTGCAGGCAGCGCATGGAGCTTACATTTTATACTTTGGATACCTAAGTAAACTGAGCAGTTTTCTTTTAATACTTAAAATATTTTTCCTATATTTGAAGCAGTGGATGCTGACTTTTAAATAATGGGAGACTCCCTTCAGTATCCTGTAACTATTGATGTTTAGGCCAGAAGGAACTCAAAATGCGATTTAAATCAGACTCCTCGCAGCAGCCGTGCGAGCTGATGTCCTCGTAGTGGTTCGCAGTGGCGGGGGCACCAGTGGGCACCTCCGAGCCCCTCTCCCAGCCCAGTACTGCGTTAGTGCACCAGGGCCGTGCTGTGGGCCAGAAGCTGGATTTTCATCTTTTTGCCTAGAAAACTGAGTGAGATAAGCTTATTACATGTTTAGCAGCTGATGAAATCCTGTGTTTGTGTTGTGTGACAGATGGTTCCCGGGGCCTTAGCAGTTAGTACTGCTTCATGCAGGCATTCATTTTTTTGTTGACATGGCTGAGTACTGCTCTGCCACACTCCTGTGGGCTTTGTCACGGAGTCGCTGCAAGGGGAAGTGGCCCCTGCAGAGGCAGAGGAGGCGTGACGAGGACACTGCACGCTTCTCCAGCCCGTACAGTGCAGGGTTGCGCTAGATCATTCTAGGAATCGTTTTTCCTGTACAGTTTAAGAACCAGTTGTCTTAGGAGTCAACAGATTCAAGTAATCATTACATCAGGTTTACTTTTCAAAATAGGGATTTCATCTCAGAATAAAGCCTTTGACTGTTTTGGGGTTTGTCTTCTGTGTTACACATTACAGGAACGGCATTGTCCGTCTTCCACGTGAGGCAGTGTCAGAACCAACAAAGAATGTAATGGACAGTGTCCCCGCTGCCCCGTGCACGTGAACCTCTATTGCATTTGACTGTTTGTATTCACATGTGAGAAAAGCCGCACATAGGTCTCGATCCTGTGGCCGCTTACGCAGGGTGTATTTTGCTACTCAGATTGATGGAATAAGTTTAGATTCTCAAGTTGAGAGGACTTGAGTCTTCTTTAAAAGCCAGCCTTAAGGAAGTTGTTGGTAACTAGATACGAGTAAAAAATACCTCCGGTTAAGATGGCTTATATAGTCATATATCCTCCTCTGCTTCTGCACAAAGATGAAGCAGTGTGGAAATTCTTTCACATTCAAAGATGGATTTTAAATCTCTCATCTCCCTAAAACTGTTTTAAATCTATTAGATTTAAAACTATTAGATCTATTCAACTGTTTTAATATTAGATCTATTAAACTAGATCTATTAAACTATTAAAACTATTAAATTTAAAAGAAAGATTAAGATTAAATCTTAATTATCTTTATTATTAGTCTATTAGATTATTAATCTGTTAGACTTAAAGATTAGATTAAATTTTTAAAAAGATGTATTTTAAATCTCTCATCTCCCTAAAATTGTTTAAAATCTATTAGATTTAAAACCATTAGATCTGTTCAACTATTTTAATTTTAGATCTATTAACTAGATCTATTAAACTATTAAAACTATTAGATTTAAAACAAAGGTTAAACTACGATTAAATCATTATTAGATTAATCTATTAGATTTAAAGTAAAGATTAGATTTTTTTTAAAGATCTGTTTTAAATCTCTCTTCTTCCTAAAACCATTTTAAAGCTTAAATCTATTTAGATTTAAGTTAAGGTGGCTTATATCATTCATGATCCTCTTCTACTTGTGCACAAAAATGAAGTGATGTGAAAATTCTTTTACTTGAAAGATCTATTTTAAATCTCTCATCTCCCTAAAACTGTTCTTTTAGAGAAGAAAACTGCATTTTAGAGAAGAAAGTTGCAGTACAGATTAAGGATGAAAGTAGTAAGTTGGGTAACACATAGACAGTGAAAGAGAATTCTGTTTTATACTGTTTTAAGCATATGTGAGAATATGGCAGAGAGAAGACAGTACATATTCTCTTTCAGCCCAGATTTGTAGAACTGGTTTGCTGGTCTAGCCTGACACACTGCGAAATTGTAGGTGTCCTCTCTAATGTTGCCTACGAGCTTTGATCACGGTGGGTTAATGACACTGCTCAGTACTCACTCGTAACTTTCCGGTCATATTTAGGTGTGTTATAGCACTTCTCTCTCCTGGGCCGTTTATTTCCTTCCTTCATACTGCACTTGTATTTCCTTTTGTTTTAGATCTTAGTGAAACTCTGCAGCTTTGTTTCCCCAGCGGAGGAGCTGGCGCAGAAGGACGACCTCCAGCTTCTGTTCAGTGCAATAACCTCGTGGTGCCCCCCCTACAACCTGCCCTGGAGGAAGAGTGCAGGGGAGGTCCTGATGACCATCTCCCGGCACGGGCTCAGCGTCAATGTCGTCAAGTACATTCACGGTGCGAGACTCTGTAGCATGCATTCGCGGGTTCTTGGCCCTTCCTGCCTTTCATCGATGGCAGATGTTACCATCTCTCGGTTATCCACAGATACCCCTTTAAATTAAAAAATGCATTTGCCAGGAGAAAAGAATATTTTTAAAAAATTTGCTGACATCTCAAATGTAAGAAATTCTCATAAAGTCTGAGTGGTAACTAGTTGTAAGAGGTAAAATGGGGGCTGGGGATGTAGCTCAGTGGCAGAGGATCTGCCTGGCAAGCACGAGGTCATGAGTTTGATTCCCAGTACCGGGGGAAAAAAAAATAAGAGGTAAGGTGATTTTGTTATTGCGTAAGTGTTCAATCATAATACAGTGTAAGTTCTATATCTTTCCCTATTCTTTTACTAAAGAAAGAAATGTTTTTGAAGGATTTGATACGATCAGTCTTTTTGAGGATATTTCATGAATAGCAGATGATAATCCATTCAGTGCAGAATAGATGGAATTAAGGCAGTAGCTTTTTGTTTCTTTGTTTCTGTGGTTTTGTTTGTTTGTTTGTTTTTCTTCTGGTACCAGGAATCGAACTCACGACCTTGTGCTTGCCAGGCAGGCGCTGTGCCACTGAGCTAAATCCGCAGCCCCAACACAGTATCTTTTAGATACTTTCAGTGATGCAGACAACCTGCTGCAGCATGCATGCCTTAGTTTCACCACCACCAAACTGGGTGAATTCTTTGTCAATGCTGAGGAGGAATTGTGTCTGTTCGGTTCTTAATAATCAACTCGCTAATACCTACTAATCAACTATCCTCAAATTGTCTATATAAGATATAGTTGCTGTAGCACCTGAAATATTTCGCTTATTTAATTTGTATAACTTATTCTGAAACCCAAAACCATTTATACAGCAATATGTGAGACCTGGTATCTAATATATGAACTAGTCATTAAGTGTTTTTTTCTTTGTAGTCTGTTAATCATAGCTTTTCTCCTATGACAATGGGTCTACGAAGTCAGTGATGGGGTATGATTGTGTTTCAAACTTGTGTTGTATAGTAAAACAATTTTTAAATTTTATTTCCTAAAGTATTTGTGTATCTGATTAGTCTGTATTCAGTCTGATTTTAACTTTAATGAATTTCTGCTTCTTAAGCTTAGGTGGTTTTTCATTCTGATAACTTACCAATATAAAAGGTTGAGAAAACTAGGGAATGTTGTTTTGTTTTGTTTTTGTTTCATGGTAAAACATCAAAATATGATTTAAAGATTGTAGTACACATTAACTATTTTTTCACATGTATTATCCTTTTTCACATGTATTATCCTTTATTTATTACTTAGAGGCAAGAGTTTCTCAATGATTGTGAATTTATTTTTATAATGCATGCCTTTTTAAAAATACCTTAAAATTTAGTATTTCACTAAACACCAGTTAAGGAAAAAGAAAATTTTCTTAAGCAGTGTACACATACATGTTTAATTGTTTATTCTTGCAGAAAAAGAATGTTTATCTACGTGTGTTCAGAACATGCAGCAGTCGGACGACCTGTCTCCCCTGGAGACTGTGGAAATGTTTGCCAGGCTTTCTTGCTTCCTCAAAGATTCCAGCGATGTTTCCCAAACACTTTTGGATGACTTTCGGATATGGCAAGGATACAACTTTCTTTGTGACCTCTTGCTTAGGTAAAACCCCACAATTTAAGAATATACTTTAACTGTCTGATCAGTTATTCCTTCTTTTGAGCAGTTTCTTTTCCTTTCATATCTGTTGTACATTTTGAGTTTTATTTACTCCGTTGGTGAGTTCCTACCATCTTGTTTAGTGAAACTCTGTTTCGTTTCTAATGGGGTTTTTTTGTTTTTATTTTTTATTCTCTTTAATAGTTCGATCCATCTTACATTCTTACATCTGGTAATCTGAGCAACTTCTTTGAAGATAACAATATGTAATATAACTGTTAATTCCTATCATTTTGCTCTGAAACCCTGTATCATTTTTATTGTTTTTGCTTTGTTTTGTTTTGGTCTATGTTGTTGGTATTTTGCTATTGTTCTTTTTTTATTGTTCTTTTAAAAATAAATGTCTGATCAATTTTTTTTTAATAAAAGGAGATTTGAGATTATAGGAAAAGGAATGTAGCAAACATTTAATGCATACCTGTGCGTCTTCTCAGCTTTGTTTTCTTCTTTTTGTTCCTGTTCTGTATATTTACAGTTGGGCTGTCAGATGCAGATCACAAATGTGGAATCAGAGATTAGGTTTGAACTTGCAGCTCAAGGAAAAGAGTTCACATGAAGTAGTTAACATCTTCTAAAGCAGAAGCTCTTCATGCTTGCTTGTATTTTTATTGTCCATATTTTATACTGCTTGCTAGTTAATAGCAAGATAATTACATCGATAAGTGAGGCTTTACAGATATGTGTGGAAAACCAATTATTCCAGAATAATTCACTCCCACCCCTTTAAATTCCAACCAGTGCGTGTATATGCTTAGAAAGTGGCTATTCACAAATTGTACTAGGAAGAGGGCCACTAGTTATGTTTAAATCATTTGACATATTTAAAGACAGCACTGTTTTGTAAACTTATTTCTAACACAGGTTTAACCTACTTACTCTCAGTTAATATTTCATAGCTCCCAAGAATATTCCTGTCAATCCTCATTTGTAAAAGAGGCCATGGGGAACTGATGAAATCACGACTTCATCTTACTAGCGGGGCGTTAATGGTGCAGTGCTTTGAGAATGCAGGTTGACGTGTATCGTCGAGAGCCTCACGTTAATACTCTAACATAGTACGTTCATCGCAATTAATCCTAGCGCACGATCCTCACTGTAGAGAAACTTGTATGTCTTTTAGCCCTGTTATATTGTACTAGCTGTCTGACCTCCCAACCAAAGGTGTGGCTGGGCATGGTGGCGCATGCCTATAATCTGAGGCAGGAGGTCATTGTAAGTTTGAGGCCAGCCTGGGTCACAAAGTGAGTTCAAGGCCAGCTTGAACTGCATAGGGAGACCCTGTCTCAAAAAAAAAAAAAAAAAAAAAAAAAAAACAAGAATTACTTTTTTCTTAACCTTGTGCTTGCCAGGCAGGTACTGTGCCGCTGAGCTATCTCCCTGACTCAAGAATTTCATTTTTTTATTGGCAGAGGGAAAGCCCAGTAAATCTTATGCTTTCAAAAGAAAGAGATATCTTTTGTGCCCATTTTGTGTTCGTAGTAAAGCCATGATCAAAAGATAATTCTCTAATGACCCCAGAGTTCTTTTAGAAGGAATTATGATAATTTTTAAACAATTGTTACCGCCTCAGAACTGTAATTAGCAGTAGTACCTAAATTCATAAAATACAGGTAAAATTCTTAAAACTCTTCCCAGAGAGTTCATTTTTAAATATTAACTGAACAAATGTTTTAAGAAAGACTAGGTAATAAGGTTTAGTTGTGAACGGTGAACGTTAATAACCTCAGAGCTTTAGGGAACTTGAAAATATGCTTAATCAAATGCTTTCTGCCAAAGATTAATGATTTACCTAAAATAACAGTAATCAAAGGAGCACTTTGATGACGGGTCTGATTTCTTCCTAATACATCATAATATCTTACAATACAATGTATAGTTTTTTGAAGTTTTTAATGCACACATATCTGTAAAGCCTCACTTATCGATGTAATTATCTTGCTATTAACTAGCAAGCAGTATAAAATATGGACAATAAAAATACAAGCAAGCATGAAGAGCTTCTGCTTTAGAAGATGTTAACTACTTCATGTGAACTCTTTTCCTTGAGCTGCAAGTTCAAACCTAATCTCTGATTCCACGTTTTTTGAAGAAGAAACTTCTCAGAATACTTCATAGATCTATTAAATAATTGAATACATAAAACTGAAGAATACTTGCAGTAATAAATTCAAGATTAGAACCAACCAGCAAAATATTTGTTAAATTGTACTTTTTCTAGATTGGAACAGGCAAAAGAGGCTGAGTCCAAAGATGCCTTGAAAGACCTGGTTAATCTGATAACTTCCCTGACCACATACGGTGTCAATGAGCTGAAGCCGGCAGGGCTCACCACAGGGGCGCCCTTCCTGCTGCCCGGATTCGTAGTACCTCAGCCTGCAGGCAAAGGTGAGTCCCGTTCATCCCGCTGGGAAGCTACGCAGGTACACCGGAAGAATTCTTCCTCTGCCTTGCTTGGTTATTCTTTGTTTACATTGCTTGTTTAAAAATAGTGTTTCGCTTTTGTTTTCCATTAAAGTTTGTGCTGTTTATGCTTAGGTTTAGATAAGAATCTCTTAATAGTCTTTAGTCTACCAGATCTAATGTTTGAAAGTTAATACTATGAAAGTGTGAAATCAAACAATGAGATTTGTATTAGGCTTTCAGTTTAATGTCCAAACAACTTTAAATCTAATCATGCTGCTTTGGAGTGTTGGCACTCCCCGTATTTTGAGTTTATGTGGATTGAATTTAATTCCTATTCTAATCTCCACACCTACTGATATCTATGGGGAGCATGAGGTATATAACTGCCGTATTTAAAACTAATCAAAGCTAAGTAAAAGAAGTTAATGTTATTTCATGTAGGTGAGAAAGTAATGACCTAGATTTTTTAACATTTCAATCTTCATTTAGTAATCTTTTACAAAAAAAAAAAAAAAGACTTATTTCATAGTTAAAACGTTTAATTACATATGAATGCAAGTTAGCTTTGTTGTTTATTTCGAATTCACAAGAGCTGTTCCAAAAGAATCTGAACCTGAAGACCTTTAACATTTCCTTTCATGTGATTTGTCGCTTAAAATTTTCAATAGGTTCACGATATTTCCATATAAAATTCAGCCCAAAGTACTAGTATGTCTGGTTACACTGTAAACCTATTCATTCTGTGACAAAGAAATCAATAGTTGTAAGTGTTTAAATTCATGAGAATAGATGGAGCCCTCAGAGTCACTGTGAGGTGCTGTATCCCTAGCGTGTAGATTGTATAGAACCTTTTTTAAGTGAGAACCTTTGAACCTCTGAAATAAGTGTGTAAGGAGTCACACATATGCCTGAGTAGTTCAGGGTTTCATTTTATTTAATATGAAAAAGTAATTTCAATGAAATTTATAGGCTCCCACTTCAGTATTCTTTAGTTAAATCTTTATGACTTGATGTAAAAATAACTCAGACATATACTTTTATTTCATACCTTATTGTTTCATTTGATTAATGAGTCTGATCTTGATATTCATATAATAGCTAAGTACAGTAGTATAATTTTATAATCATATAATTATTGCAGCAAAATTATTCCTTTGCATAATGTTGTTGTCTGGCTTTTGTCTCGTTAATAATAGGGATCATAACTACATAACCCAGCCCCTACCGTAGTTGTTGTGAGAATCTAATGGAAATAAAGTTAACTAGAAAGGATGTTGCCCTCAGAGCCAGGACTCAGAATCTTGAATGACGTAACTTTGCTAAACGTCTGTTTCTTCTTCAGAAAACATTCTATGAAATGAACAGGTCAAGCCACCTCATTTAGACTCTCCTGTCTAAGTCAGAGTTGCCTGTTTCCCGTGGCACTTGGCTAGGTTACTGTGGGAGCCAAGGAGATAGCTGCGCCCCATAAGACCGAGTAATGGACTCTGTCATCCTTTGTTCTATTTTGGTCAGCAGTATTGAGGTATAATTTGCATCTGTTGGAATCTGCCCATCAATCTGCTGGGTTCGGTTAATCCTAATAAATGTGTGGTTGTACAATCACACTGTAATCATGATATGGAATATTTTCATCCTTTAAAAGGCTTTCTGTTTGCCCTGCGGTCCTTCGTCCCACAGCTCACCTACCCCCACCCCTTGTTTGGCAATAGCTGATCTGCTTTGGCTTCGCTCACCCCACAGTTTCAGAAGCTGAAGTCATGCAGTGTGTGGTCTTTTGTATCTGGATTCTTTCCAGCAGTGTGTTTGGGACTCAATCCCGTTATTGTCCGTTTCAGGCTTTTTGGTAGCGGGTCATTTTGCAGTGTTTCCGCATCCACCTACCCCTTGGTAGACATTTGCTTGTATTTGACTGTGTGCTGTGGGCATTCAGATAGAAGTTTTATGAACATATGTTTTCATTTCTTTTGGGTGACTGCCAAGTGCTGGAATTCCTGGGTCATGCGGTGCATGCAGGTTTAACTTTATGCAAAACAGTCAACTCTTCGGAAGTGGTGCTTGCGTTTAATATTCACATCAGCAGTGTATAGAAGTCCTAGTGGCCGGGACTGTCCTTAATAACACTTGATGCTGTTAGTTTTGTTCGTTTTCAATTTTAGGAAGTCTAGTGAGTGTGTTTCCCAGTCTCTAATTGCTTTTAATTTTTATTATGTAAATGACTGATGAAGTTGAAAATCTTTTCATGGGCCTGGTTGTCACTTTTACCCCTCTGTTGTTTCAGGTCGTTGTGCTGATTACTTGGTAGGGTTGTTTTATTGGAGTTATAAGAGTTCTTTAGATATTCTACATAAGTCCTTTATTACCTCTTTATCCTTCAATATATATTTTGTAGTTAGGTTCTTTTAGTCTTGGCTTTTTCTGCTCTTAACATCATCTTTTGAAGAATATAAGTTTTCCAGGGACACAATCCAGTTTTTCATTTTGCCCTGTTGAAGAAATATTTACTTACTCCAAATTCCCGATGATCGTCACCAACATTTTCTTCTTGTAATATCTTCTTTCTAATGTCTTATTTCCCCAGTGCTTCCTCTTAACTGTCACGGAGACCATTTTCAATCAGTTGTGGCATAGAGCAGGAAGTAAGAGCTCATTTATTTGGTTTTAATTTTGTTTTTGTTTTGTTTAGTTTTTGGTCTTTTTGAGACAGGGTCTCACTATGTAGTTCAGGCTGGCCTTGAGCTCACTTTGTAGCTGAGGCTGGCCTCAAACTTGCAACGATCCTCCTGCCTCAGCCTCCTGAGTGCTGGGATTACAGGCGTGTGCCACTACCCCCAGCATATTTTGTTTTGTTTTTTGTTTTTCATGTGGCTGTACCAGTGTGCCAGGACACTTTCTTGAAAAGATTCTATGTCTGCGACTCTTTCTGAATTCTGTTTGTCTGCATGTCTGTCTTTAAGACAATCTAGGCTGTTTTGATGGCTGTGGTTTTATTTTAATAAATCTTAAACTTATTTAAGTTGTGTAATTTTGTTCTTTTCAAAATTACTGTGGCTATTCTAGGTCACTTGAACTTCCCTGTAAGTTAATCAGGTCAGTTTTGTTGGGGGAGAAGCCAGCTGTGATGGTGGTTGGGAATATACTGACACTGAGACCTTGTTGGGGAGAACTGACATCTTAATAGTATGGAATCCTGCAGTCAATCTAGGAAAACGATACTGCTCCTTATTTTGGTCTTACTTTTTGTCAGCAGTGTTTTATAGTTTTCAGCACATAGAACTTTCAGGTTTTTTGTTAAATTTATCCTTCAATGCTGGTACTTTTATGAAAGAAATTGCTTTTTTTTCTGGTGCATTTCTTATTCGACTGGTCTGGGTTAGAGATGATAGACTATGGTATAGGGAAGGAAATGGGAAATCCAGTTATAACAGTGTCATGTGGCTGCAGCCTCCTGTCAATTCTTTATTCACATTGCTGATGGGAAATATATTTCTTGGTTTCCCTGGTTTCCCTTTAATTATCTGCAAAAAGGATATTCTTGTTGCCAAGGAATTCTTACCAAAGTAGTGATACAATGACATTTAAAAAGGAAACAGGAATATTTGTACCTTATGATGTTGTCCACATCCTTACAGCTTAGCCACCTTGGTTTGGGCATTGATTATAGACAAGGGAGGCAGCATAGAAATACAAAATTTAAAAGAAGTCAGCTCGGGCTGGGGATTTAGCTCAGCGGCAAAAGCGCCTGACTGGCAAGCGCAAGGTCGTGGGTTCGGTTCCCGGTACCGGAGAAAAACCAAAAAAAAAAAAAAAAAAAAGTCAGCTCAGTTACTATTTTGAGCATGTTGGTTGGCACGTGTATACGTGTTATTACTCGAAAATGACAGTTTCTATAGTAGACAGCAAGAGCTTTTATAAAGCTTTGTATCCTCATCAGCAGAGCGACTTTCCGAAAAAGGAAATTAAAGAAACAGTGCAACCCTTCCCTTTAAGTGGAAAATACTCATTGGTTTGGTACCAACTTCAGGCTGTTCTTCCCCGCCCCCCAGGTAGTCTATATTCTCTAGTTCCTGAGGTTGCACTCCATAACCCATCGCTAGGGGGCGTAGCTCAGGGGTGGAGCATTTGATCACATAACTCATCGCTCTCCAGTTTCCCTTTGTTCCACAAACCACATGTTTCCATGTTTTTGCAGAGAGTGTATCTCGTCATGAAAAAATGTTTCCATGCTTTCCTGAACTTCAATCTGACTTGGCCTTACAAACGTTTTCTTAGTACACATTAGTTTAGGCAGCACCAGGGTAAGAGTACAGCGTTATTTTCCCCGCTGCAGATTTTTTTTCAGTGTGGTAACTGCAGTGCCTGCTGCTTTCCTTCAGCATGGACTTGCTTTGAAGAGCCCATGGTGTGCTGTTCAGTTTGGGGTGCAGCATGCCCAGGGCGAATTTTCACTGGCTTCCACAGTATAGCTTCACACGCTGTTTATAACCTTTTTTTTTTTTTTTTTTTTTTTGAGACAGGGTCTTGCTCTGCAGTTCAGGCTGGCCTTGAGCTCGCTTTGTAGCCCAGGCTGGCCTCAAACTTGTGGTGATCCTCCTGCCTCAGCCTCCCGCGTGCTGGGATCACAGCCCCGGCTTTATAACCATTCCTATTAGCCACGTGTGGCCATTAGTCATTATTTTCTGTCTTACACTTCCTGGATACTTACTGATTTCCACCCTTTTTTCCTAGCTCTGCTTACCTCCCCTAATTTAGCTGTGTGTGGGGGAGCTATCCTGGGTCACCATTGGCATCCTTTTTTTTTTCTTTTTTTTTTGAGATAGGACGTCACTATATAATTCAGACTTGCCTCGAACTCACTGTGTAGTCCAGACTGACCCTGAACTCTGCCTCAGCCTCCTGAGCACTGGGATTACACAGGTGCACTACCACGCCTGGCTCGCCATATGCATCTCTGGCCAGTTTTTCTATCCATCTCCTCTTCGGGTCTGTCTTTGCAATCTAACTCCAGTGACATGAAATCTAATAGCTAAGATTTAGCTATTAAGGAACTTTTGCATTTTTTATTTAGACTTTTATTCTTATTTTATTTTTCTTATGCTTGTGTCATTTAGACTCCTTTTTCAAATGTTCACCTTCATAGTTTTCATTAGATGGAAAATAGGATAGCTCTGTTCTTTTGTTGTCTACATAGATGTTCTTCAAACCTTGGACTAATTCATTTCTTTTGCTTCTGCGTGTACAGACTTGAGAAGAATACAGCAGTGATTGTCATATTTTAGAATGCTTTTCTCATTTTATCACTGTTTCTTTTAGCTATTTTTATGCCTAAAAGATTGGAATCAGACTTTGAAACTTAAATAAGTGAATCCAGACTTTGAAACTTAAATAACATGTGTCTGTTTAGCTAAAATATTAGAGCTTTTATGTACTGGTATTTAAGAAATACGCCTGTCATATATATTATTTTAAATTTTTAATTATTATTCAACTTTCCTTAATTGAATATTTTAGGAATTTAATGACTGTGACAAGTAACTGCTGTTCTTAATATTAACATTCAAAATACCGTGTACTTCAAATTTGTAAGCTACTGATTTCAGTATTGATATTCAGGGGTTCCTTTAGGTACTCTTTTCTGCTAGAAAGCTAAATTATCAGAGCTTATTAATTTCCATTGCACAGATTTTTAAATTTGGAAATAATATTGTACAGGCAAACAAAATCACTTTCCCCTGGCTTAGTTAGAAGAAATGTTTGAGCTTAAATGTAGATTAGACTGAGTGGTTATTGCACTGGTTAAAATACTCTGCCCTTGAAGGCAGCCGTGGGGGTTAGTTCATCTCAGTATTCCTTGGTCATTTACTGTAGTCAGTGCATCTTAATTATCCTATCACAACCTGTTGCAATGGCCCGTAGAAGAGTTGGCTAACAAGTAAGATTAAAGATGAATCAAAAAATACATTATTCTAAAATTTGTAAGCCTGCTGACCTTCTGGCCCCTGTTTCTAAGGTTATCTTCGTATCTGAAGATTACCGTATTTTACATTACATTGTTGCCTTAGTTTCTTTTTTTGCTGCTGAGACAAAATGCCAGACACTCAGAATTAAAGGAGGAAGGGCTGGGGATTTAGCTCAGCGGCACAGCGCCTGGCTGGCAAGCACAAGGTCATGAGTTCGATTCCTGGTGCTGGAAAAAAAACAAAAAAAAAGAAAAGAATTGAAGGAGGAAAGGTTTATTTAGCTCACAGTTTGTGGAGGGTTCAGTTCATGATCAACTGGCTCCAAGGCAGGCTGGCACATGGCAGAAGGGCAACAGTTCGTGGCAGTGGAAGACAGCAAAAGCAACAAAAAACTGAGCTTTTCACAGTGCCCAGAAGGTACCACAGCAACAAGACAGAGAGAAGACTCGTATAGTATGCAGGCTACCCGCCCTAGGGTGGGTGTACCCTTACGCTCAGCATTGGACCATGAATCAGTCACAAACTCTACATTCAGCCACCTCTGAAAAGCCCACCCCCATGACTGCATGAGGCTTTGGTGGGGGCATTAGGTACAAGCCATAACAATTGTGTTCATGTATATATGTTGTTTAAAGCACTTCTTGTCTTTATTGTAGTTTGTCCTTGTGGTTGATTAGTAATATGTCTTACATTTTGTGAACAAAGTCACTTGAAACCAAATAGTTACCAAGCTTGTAAAAAACCAGATTCAAGTTCAGCTCTTATAACTTCTTTTCTTTAGTCATAATTAATATCACTTAGCTGAAAGATGTAAAGTATTGGCTAGACCTCATGGTTAGCTGAATTTGTCACTTTTCTCACATGTAGTCTGGCTTTTATATTTGTATGTCAATTTTTCTAAACTTGGTTTTTGGTGACTTATAGATAAAAAGTTAAGCTGTTCTAAACAGAGCAAACTTAGTAAGGAATTGAAAATAAATATAAACCTTTGATATTTGACATACATCAAATATATTTAGACATTGTAGAAGAAAATTGAAATAATATATATAGGATAAAGACTTAAAAATCTTCATGTTTTTCAAAGATGTTTATGGAAGGAGTTCTTAGCAATCTTTCTAATCCATTTTATGTTTTTCCTAGTTCTATTTATACTGTGTTTCTAAAAACCAATGTATTGTGTAAGAATCTGTGTTAATGCTTTTGTCATTCTTGCAGGTGCTAAATACACCTAATAGTTACGGAACTGGGAACAATTTTTAGAGGCAAATTCGTGTTATCATGTGCTTCAGATGTACCTTTCTGTGTATTACTGTCATTAACCTGCCCTATGGAATTCATATATAAAGGTGTTTATTTTACAGTCAATGGGCTTGAAAATCAAAGTTTTAACAATATATTTAGTAGTTGGCCAAAAATTGCTTTAATGAATGTTTGTATTTATGTAAGGGAATTGCAATTTTAGTTTGAAAACAAATTTCCAAATTAAAATTAATGAAAATTATAATGCTATGATTATAACGAGAAAGCTGAGATGCAGAGAATTCCCCCCGCGACTTCCTTCCTTTCATTCCCACTGCCGCCAGCAGTGACTTTTCAGTCTCTTCGGGTTGAGCAGCAGCTGTGCTTGCGCTCAGGGTCTGTCTTAACTGAAGCAGAGCGCAGCACCGTGAGTTTCCAGAGCCCAGCGCTGGCCCCTGCAACGCAGTAGGATTTTATCCTCTCTAAAGCAGTTTCAGTTTCCAACATATGCTATTCTTGAATTGAAATATTCATAATGGCACATTAAAGTTTTACTTGCTGTTATTTATTTGTCATTAAATGATGTGAACCTGGAGAAGAAAAATAAGACCTGTTGTGCACACAGGACATATTCTTAGCAAATAGCTGATACATGCTGAAATTTGTGTTACGTTTATACAGACCAGTTTGCTGTGACTAAAATATCACATGGCGCCTACTTTTGTGTTCCTGTTTCCTATTTTAGGTCACAGTGTGAGAAACATCCAGGCCTTTGCAGTTCTTCAGAATGCATTCTTAAAAGCAAAAACCAGCTTCCTGGCCCAGATCATCCTGGACGCCATCACAAACATTTACATGGCCGACAGTGCCAACTACTTCATCCTGGAGTCACAGCACACGCTGTCACAGTTTGCTGAGAAGATTTCTAAACTCCCAGAAGTCCAAAACAAATACTTCGAGATGCTGGAGTTTGTTGTTTTTAGCTTAAATTACATCCCTTGTAAAGAACTTATTAGTGTTAGTATCCTCTTAAAGTCTAGCTCGTCTTACCACTGTAGCATTGTTGCCATGCGAACTCTTCTTAAGTTTACAAGACACGACTACATATTTAAAGATGTGTTCAGGGAGGTGGGCCTTCTGGAGGTCATGGTAAACCTTTTGCATAAATACGCTGCCCTCTTGAAAGATCCAGCCCAGGCACTGCATGAACAAGGTAAAGCCTTTTCTGTAACTTCGCTCTTCTTTGGTAAAGGGGTGTAGGAAGTTTGTTTATGCCTCTTGCTCCTTTCCTGTGATTGCCGGCTCGAGTGACTTCTGGGTGTGCCTTACTGTGACATTCTAGTGACTGTTTCCCAAAGTCTGTTCAACCAGACCTCCCTTAGGGAACTGGGGAAGAGTTTTATCCCTGAGGCATAACATGTGTGATCCTCATAACTAGTGTTTGCTATTCTCTGCATCTAAGTAGGAATTTTAAAACTCTGAAAATAATTGGAATTATTCATTATGATTTATTCTCTATAACTAAATGTGTGGCTACTTCAGATTTTTTTGTAGAAAGCAAATACATCTGTCTTGGAGTATTATATACACGTGTTATCTTTAGGTATCTTCGATAAATCTGAAAGAAGTGTAGTTGTTTCTGGCAACTAATAAGTATTAAGTGAATTAATGCAAATTGAATTGGTCACTTTATTCTTAAAGTCTTCTTTCTTTTTGGTGCATTAAAATCCAGCATTCTCCTATTAGCATGCTTAATTAAAAGCACTATGGGGTAAATGCATTTAATTTCAATATTTTTAATACTTGTTGGATACCTTTCTAGTCATACCAAAGTAAGATCTGTTAGTGATTTCCAGCCCACTTTTAGCAAGATGTTGGACATGCGTATTATTTTTTAATGAGTTTATTGATACAATTTAGATATACATCATAATCACATTAATCGTAGGAAGCTTGTACCTGTGTGTGATATATCTTAGTTCCTCTTTTTTTCCTCCCATTCCCTTCTCCTCCCTTCAACTCCTCTTTCCCTCCTTACTTACAAAGTTTTGTTTCCATTTCATTCTTTTCTTCTCATTTTTTTTCTTTTCCCTCCCTCCTCCCCCGCTTCCCCTTTCTTTTTGAATAATTTCTTCCTGTTTCACAATATCTATTAGGTATTTTGGTCCTTATTTAGGAAACTTGCAGTTTCCCACACCAGGGAAACAATACGCTATTTACACGTGTGTGTCCCATTTGTTTCTCTGAAGAGTGTGGTCTCAAGGTGCCATTTTAAAGGTTGTATTGTATCATTTGAGTGGAAAGTGAATGTCAAGGAAATAGTTAAAGAATTTATTAAAACCAAAGCTGAATCTAGAAAGAATAAGCGTATCACTTTTGTGATTTGCATCTTTAAACTTCTTTCGCAGGGGACTCAAGAAATAATAGTTCAGTTGAAGACCAAAAGCACCTGGCTCTGCTGGTCATGGAGACACTGACCGTGCTCCTGCAGGGGTCCAACACGAATGCAGGTAACCAGAAGGGAGCGGAGCTGCCCTCGCTACACCTCTCATGGGGCCCGTGCTCCTGAGAAAAAACTCTCGGTTCATTGATGGGATGGTCAGAGCCTTACAGGTGCAGTCCTTTTGGACCATTTGAAGTGCACTAACGACAAAATATGTAACATTGTTACTATTTGAAAACGTCTTTACTGCTTTTTTCGTACCATGCCTTGTGCTTAAAGTAGTTTTCTAAAAAATTTTTTACTTACATAATGCACTGTTATTTAAATAATTTGCTTTTTATGTTTTCTCTCCCAAATATTTGCTTTTGTGGTGATTTTCTTAATTTTGAAGTAAAACATGTTGGAGTATTGCAACATTACAACATTAGGGAAATAGCAAAATAAAACCTAATCTCTCCAAGGTAAAGTATTTCATTGAATAGTTTGCTTTAGCAGTGGTTTCATTTTCTTTCTGTTTTTCTTGTCTTTTTGAGACGGGGTCTCACCATGCAGTTCATACTGGCCTTGAGCTCACTTTGTAGCCCAAGCTGGTCTTGAACTCGCAACGATCCCCCTGCCTCAGTCTCCCAAGTGCAGGGATTACAGGCGTGTGCCACCATGCCTGCCTCATTTTCTTTCTATAATTAACAGAGCATCCAACTATATTTATAAACTATCGTGCTTACTTTTTCAAAAGAGTCCTTGAAATTTTAGTCCACATCCAAAAACTATGAGGCCATAAGGCCAGTGCAGCCCGAGGAATAAATGAGGGGCAGGGTGTTGAGGTGAGCAGGCAGGCTCAGATGGCAGCCTTGGAGGATGTGCTGGGAGCTTGGGGTGTGCTTGCGGGTTAGGGGAAGGCCCTGGGTGGTGGAGCGCCACCCCGCAAGGCGTGACTGCTGAACGTAGAGAAATTTGGCCACAGCGTGTTTAACATACAGTATGTGCATCTGGTCCCATGCTGGGTGTTAGAGATAAAGAGATAATTCCGTCTCCAAGAAAATTAGTCTAACTTAGAAAGGTGTGAACGCATCACTGTATAAGTAGTTATTTAAATGCAATTTTGGCGAATGCCAAACAGAATTGATTGAATTTAGAAAGTAATTGAAATGGTGAGCATGAAGTTTAGTGAGTGCTGTGGCACCGTTTTCTGGTGTGACACGCACTGTCCTTACTTCCACCAGTTAGATTCCGTTGGCTGAGGGCTGCGGAAACGTAATGAGGATACGTCAGCAACAGTTTATTCCGCAAATCTTGCTGAGGTGTCGGAGAGTGGTAGGGGAGGGCCTGGACCATCTGCTATTGTAGGGGAGTGGAGAGCTTGCCCGTGTGACCAGTTCCTCGTGCATCTCCCAGGGCACCAAGCATTTTCACACAGATCGTTTGTCCTGTCTTTCTTTCCCTTGTTAAGGCGTTGCTCATAGTAACCATTTAGGCAGTATTATCCCTTACGGTTATGCGGTGGTCCTCACCTGACAGCCAGTAGTGAGTATGCGTGACCTTCCCATAATCACAGACGTCACAGATTGCATGTGACCCACACTCTCTGCACGGTCACTAAACTCTCTACAGTCAGCAGACGGCCACGAGGATGAGTACAGTGGCCACCACAGCACATGTTCCACGCAGCACAAATCAGGAGGAAATTCAGGTTTCACAGGGGACCAAACACACAAATAACGTGCTACCTGGATGAGGTCAGTAGTAGAGATGTAGACCGTCTAGTCTAAAAGCGTACAGAGTAGAATTCCTTGCAGGGGTGCTGATCCAGGCCTTAGTTTGTGTGGCGCATGTTTTCACCCACGTGGATGGTGTTTGCCGTGAGGATGGTGCCCCCCGTGGGCAGAAGTACAGGCTGAAGACCCGCTGTGGTGGTATCTGCCCTGCCCCTGCTGTCGGGGGTGTGTGACCGACCGTGGACTGCCGCGTGGTGGGGATGAGGGTTCCATCAGTCGGACTGCTTGATGGCCCGGGGGCAGGGCGATGGCTGGTTTTACTGCTGTCGAGTTTGTCTTCCTTGTTCTTCTGTCCACCTATTTGACAGAAGTGCTGGTTCCTTATAATTTTTTTCATGGTGACTTATTTTACTCTTTTCCTGATATTATTTTGCAAGCCTTGCTCAGTTTACGTCCCATTTACTTGGTTTGGTTCATTCTTCATCTAAAACCCTTTACATAAATTGGCTTCATTGTTGGGCCCCCTGATGTCTATCTATGAAGTCTCCATGTCTTCTAGGTCTGGAGCATTTGGACATGGGACTGTATCAGGGCATTCATCTTGTGTTAAGAAATCTAGAGAAAATGCGTGTGTGCGTTTACTGGCATCCCGCCCTAGCTTTTGCTTTGTAATTTAAAAGGCAAAATAGGTGCTCAGATTTTACTTGCCTTCTTTTGAATTGGTGTCTACAGAAGAAATTGAATTGAATTTGTCCAGCTCCCCTTGGAACACTGACGTTCTCCACGCTGTACCTTTTCTGCTTCCTTCAAGGGATTTTCCGCGAGTTCGGAGGAGCCAGGTGCGCACACAACATCGTGCGGTACCCGCAGTGCCGGCAGCACGCCCTCATGACCATCCAGCAGCTGGTGCTGTCTCCCAACGGGGACGACGACATGGGCACCCTCCTGGGGCTGATGCACTCGGCCCCACCCACAGAGCTGCAGCTGAAGACCGACATCCTCAGGGTGCGCTTGCTGGGCCTGTGTCCGCTCTCCTGCTACTGGAATCCGGGATGATTTTCAGTCGGTTTATATTTCAGTCGGGGACAGGGAAGTTACAGAAACCCGAAGTACAAAAAATCCATAACTTCATGCACACGAAGGATTTGGTGAAAGTCCAGTCTTTCATGCATTTCACTATATATTGACTTACTGTTAATAAACTTCTGTAGTAATTATCTTGGCTTATAGGAATTAAATTAAAAAGTGAGTTAGCCAAGTGGAACATCTTAATAAATACTAAATACATATATATGTCGTAGTCAATATAGCACCCAGTGTTATATTGGGAAATCACCCAGTGTTACACGTCTATGAAATAAAATGTTGTATTTTACATATATACATGTATAGTGTCATGGATATTCTAGTAGATCATAAATAGTGCACTACAAGATTTAGGTATTTGTTCTCATTTTACTCCTCAGCAGTCCTATATAATAAGTCACACCCTATTTACCACATGGGAGAGATTAGACAGATGATATAACTATCTTGTAAGTAGTAGACCTGACCTCAGACCACGGGGAAGATTACACGCTGTGTCTTAAGTCATAGACACTAGCTGTATTACAGATACTGACACAGAAGGGGAAGGAGCCCGTTGTGTGCATAGACAGACTTCAGATTGTAGTTCGGGGCTACATGATGTCATGGTTAAGTGCACAAGAGGGGAGATTAGACCCTCCTGGGTTTCGGTCCTACCTTTGCTGTTACATACTCTGTACGGTCTTTGGCAAAGTATTTCACCATGTTGGGCCATAACTCTCCATCTGTAAAATAATTATATTAATAATGAAATAATTAGCATTGAGCATCTCTAATCTATTTTATTTTTGTTTTTTGAGACAGTGTGTCTTGCTAGGTAGTGTAGGCTGGCCTTGGACTCACTTTGTAACCCAGGCTGGCCTCAAACTTGCTGTGATCCTTCTGCCTCAGCCTCCCAAGTGCTGAGATTGCAGGTGTGGGCCATGACACTCAGCTTAGCATCCCTAAACTGAAAATTTGAGACCCAGAGTGCTCCAAATTCCAAAAGGTTTCAATGCTGATGTTATGCCACAGTTAGATAATGCCATAATCATGAAACTATTTCATGCATAAAATCATTTAAAATATTGCATAAAATTACTTTCAGGCTATTTATGTAAGGTACATATGAAACAAGTGAATTTTGTATTTAGACTTGGGTCCCATCCTCAAAATATCACATTATATACATGTAATTATTGTGAAAAATATCTGGAAAATTTCTCGCCACAAGCATTTTGGATAAGGGACATTCAGCCTGTAATAATGTAACACATAGGGTTATAGAGAGGATTAAAGAAGATAACTTGAGAGAGCTCCTGCTGCCTGGTGCCTAATATGTCCCCAATAAAACATTAGGCAATATTATAATGAGCTCTTTTTAGCAGTAAGCCAAGCTAAAGTATAGCAGTTCAGGAAATGAAGAGTTAGATTTACTTGTTCACTTTAGGTTTTATTTCCTGGAGCTGTTCTGGGAAAGGGCAAACTTTTAGCCCTGAGACTCCAATTCCCTTTCCAAGAGAGAATGTCCATGAGTCCTCTAGCATAAGACCCCTCATGAGAATCTGGTCACTTTATACTGAAGTGCAAAACTTTAGATCTTGGCTGCCCTGACCACCTCTGACCCTTCCCAGAATAAATCTATTTATATACACATTCACAGACATGATGGTATAAAACTACACTAGAGTTTGTATCCTATTTAATAAAATTACTTTGTAATCTAAACTCATGAATGTCATTGTCAGTTAAACGTGGAGGAAAAGCGTGTCAGCCAGCATTTGGGTATAACCTCGTTTATCAAAAGAAATGTGTGATAATGTTACCTGAACTTATCTTTTGCCTTTAATGTGGCAGTTTGTAAGTAGCAAAATATTTAATGTGCTTTTCATGTAACTACTTCCTGGGTAAATGACGAATACATTTTTATCCGATCTTCACAGAGTGGTGTTTGCCTTTGACATCCATGCGTGGGGGGTTTTGTTCTGGTATATTAAGAATTTGAATTACGTTTGCTTGTCCCCTCTAGGCCCTTCTGTCTGTCCTTCGAGAAAGCCATCGTTCCAGAACGGTGTTCCGGAAAGTTGGAGGGTTTGTGTACATTACATCCTTGCTCGTGGCTATGGAGAGATCTCTGAGCTGTCCCCCCAAGAACGGCTGGGAGAAAGTGAACCAGAACCAAGTGTTTGAGCTCCTCCACACCGTGTTCTGCACCCTGACCGCAGCCATGCGTTACGAGCCAGCCAACTCCCACTTCTTCAAGACAGAGATTCAGTATGAGAAGTTGGCAGACGCCGTTCGATTTCTTGGCTGCTTCTCAGACCTTAGGAAAATAAGTGCCATGAATGTCTTCCCCTCAAACACACAGCCGTTTCAAAGACTGTTAGAGGAAGAGGTGATTTCCACGGACTCCGTGTCACCTACCTTACGGCACTGCAGTAAACTCTTTATTTATCTCTACAAAGTGGCCACAGACTCTTTTGACAGGTATGGCTCTGCTCTGTCTTCTGTGTTACGGGGTGTCCTCGGCATGACATCAGCAGTAGGACCCAAGAAAAGTGAAACAAGGGAACCTTCTCCTGTTTGCCCAGTGTTTATCACCTTGAGGAGTTACTGTTGCCCTGGTGTTCATCTTATCAGCACGGAGGTCTTTATATTATTTGTAAACCCAGGTTCAGTTAGCTTTCACTGCACTTAACAGAAAATGTATAGGAAGCTTGTTTGATGCCAGTGTTTTGTTCTCTTCTTCCTCTTTACCCTCTTTACGCTCAAAACATTGGGTTCATTTGGACTTACTGATACTGGTCATCAACAGGGGAGCATGTTACAATCATGCATATTTTCAGATGACAGAGAGCCTGTCAGTCCCAACGTTTCATAATTCTTAAGAAATGATAGAGGTCATTAGGAGCCTATTGGTGTCTTGAATTGTGAAGTTCAAGAGCCCATCAGAGTCATTCACCAGTGCCTGCGGGCAGCTGCTGTGTGTCAGACCACTGTGCGTTCAGCCAGTGAGGACAGCTCTGTGCCGGACTGCCATGGGCCTCACCTGCCGTCAGCTGGTCATCAGTCACAGTGCGTGGTGGCCATGTCCATGACGGGGAAGCCCAGGGTTCTGGGGGACACTCCTGGAGAGCCTCTACGTGAATCGCTTATGTTGTCCTGCAGCTCTATTGTTTTTTCATTAAGTCTTCTTTTTGAAAATAATGCAAGAGTGATTGTGCTGCTAATTTATCTGTTCCAAGCAGTATCACTTCTAAGCTACCAGTTTTCATTCTTAGTATAAATGAATTGTTCCTACCTTGTATTCAGAAGTAGACCAAGTAGCCCGAGCTTCTCTTGCATTTTGTTTTCTTTACTGTGGAATATCTACTTTTAAATATCTACAGAGAGAATTCTTGCATTAGAGTACTATTTCTTAGTCTTTAATGTTTAGATTTGAAAACCCAGGTACTATAAGAAAGTTGTTTCCCTTTTTTTCTCAACTTGAAAATAGAAATATGTATCTGTTAATACTGAGAGTAAGCGTAGGATCGTCAGCCTCGTCAGCCTAAGCTGCGCACATGTGTGCAGTAAGACCCAGCTCCTTTTCTCTTGTTCTCTGCTGACCGTAGTTAGTACACCTCGTTTTTGGTTTGCATTGTCAGAAACGGGGCCTAGAGCATCCTGCTTAACCAACATGTTGCATGTTACCGTGGGTGGAAGCAGCCTCTTCCTCGAGCACGCTTTCTGTTGCATTCAGCGCATGTACTGTAGCCGTGTTGCTGGTTCCTGCTGACTAGGGAGGATGCTCCTTAGTCAACTTGGACTGGCATTTCTTGTGAAACTAACCAACTGCCAACCTGGTGTTCTCTTCTTCTAACCTCTCTGCACCACCCTGTCTGTTTTGTTGTCTATAGTCGTGCAGAACAGATCCCTCCTTGCCTGACAAGTGAGTCTTCTCTCCCCTCTCCCTGGGGGACACCAGCTTTGTCCAGGAAAAGGTACTGATCTCAGAGATGTCAATCTTCATTTGTGAAGGTTTTTTTCCTGTGCTTACTTATGTGTTAATGTGGTGATTGTGTTTTGTAACTTTAATATTTTCTTGCTGTTCAGTTGTTTTTTTAGACTTAAAAATTATTAATTTCCTTTGAGAATATTGACAAGAATACAGTGTATTTATGCTATGAAGCCCTGAAGGACATGTAGAATCTTGCCTCTCTGTTATGTAACCTAACACATCTCTATTATGTATCTACACCATGTTCTACATATTTTGTTTTAAGAGCAGGTATTATCTGTTATTAAAAATAAGATAAGTAGGATACTTCCCACTCTTTCTTTCTGCTTTAAGTGTCGGGGCGTTTTTGCTTGGCGCTGTGACTCCAGGGTGAACCTCGCAGCTCCGGAAGGAAGTGTGTATTTTCTCATTTGGGTCAGCTGGTTGAAGTCTGATGCTGTATTGGGGACTCGTCAGAGCTAACCTTTGAAAAACTGAGGACAGTTACCTGCCCAGGATGTATACTGCCTGTTCCCATGCAGAACCGTAAACTAGTCTAGCCTGCCTTAGCCGCAAAGCTTGCGAATGTAGGCAGCAGCAGGTGCTCAGCAAAGTGCAGTGAAGACTCATGGGTGTGTCCTTTTGCACACAGCCGCACCGAGGGCTAGTCTTCCTGGGGCACCACGTCCTTTTCTTTCCCTTGTCCTCCTCCACAAGCAAATGCAGATCCCTAACGCTTCTGTAAATATTTCCAGCTTTTACCAAAGGGGAAAAAAAAAAAAAAAATCCCAGTGATCTGTTGGATTGACTGCTTGAGACAGTGTCTTGCCATGTAGTTTGGGCGGCCCTCAAGCCTACTCACTGTGTAGCCCAGGCTGGCCTCAAACTCGCAGTCAGCCTCCTGCCTCGGCCTCCCCGTGCTGGGGTTGTGGGTGTGTGCCAGCACACCCACATACCTTGTATTGTTTGAATCTGACTGCTATTGTTCAGATTTTGAAACTTGGGTATAATTGTGGTTCGTGGGCCAGAAGTGCTGATTGCTCCCCATGCAGCCAGCCTTCTGTTTATAAGTTCAAAGAACCTCACTTTGAAAATTATTTCTTTTTTAAAATTTTTTAAAATTTCATTTGTACTGAGCATGTTCAGACTTCTGCCTTGTTATCTGTTCCTCAGACAAGATAGGTTAGCAACTATTAACACAGTGTTAGGGACGGTAAGTAATCTAGGACTGTCTTAAAGCTCATGAGAGGAGGTACTTAGGCTGTGTGCACAGCGTGCTGTTTTATGGAAGGAACTTGAGCATCAGCTGATTGGGGGTCCAGGAGCCCAAACTCCCGTGCATACAGAGGGTCAATTGTATTTCCAGAGTAATACTCACTAGGTATGTGGAGAGGTGTAATTTTTTTCCTCTCTTAAATTTGTACTGGGGCTTACGTCTCATCATGCTTAACCACAGCATAATTCAGAATAGTTTTAAGTGAAATTATTATGGTAGTTCAATACATGTGCCTAAAACTACTGTCCTGAGTTGTTTTGGGCTGCTGGGGATTAAATGACCCCTGCTTCAGGCTCTCACTCTGGCCAAGCAACTACTCTGTCACTGATCCACATTCCCAGCCCTTATTTCTAGAAGAGCTGCTCTTAATTCAAGAAACCATAAACTAGATAAATTTAGGTTGATTTAGGATAGTTCTCTGTGCTAATGAATAAGTATAAAGTTTTTTTTGTCTGAAGATCCATGTGTTTTTATGATCCCAAAGAACTACCAGTGCTAGAGAAATAATTGCAATGACTAACTAGTTGAAATTGCTGAAAAATCCCAATTTTAAAACACAGTGATCAGACCATACATGCTAAAGGCCTATAAATTGCTGTGTTTCAAGACGTTTAATCCTTTGTATTACCCACACTCAATAAACAGATCACATATTAAAGGAGTGCATTTTCCTCAACAAGTTTTGTTTTGTTTTATTTGTCTTTTTGAGACAGGGTCTTACGATGCAGTTCAGGCTGGCCTTGAGCTCACTTTGTAGCCCAGGCTGGTCTCGAACTCACAACGATCCTCCTGCTTCAGCCTCCCAAGTGCTGGGATTATAGGCGTGCACCACCACACCTGGCAAGGAGTACATTTTCTAAAAAAGAAAATCCATGAAAATTTGTTGTTTCAGTGGTAATTAACAAAGGGAGGAGAGCATTCTCTTCTTTTGCATAGTTATTTATGGCCTTCAATCCAGAGCAGTTTTTCATTATTTGCAACGCCCCTACATGTGAATATACGAGGTCTCCCTGCAGGGAGAAATCTCACGGAGTCCCCAGAACTAGTTGTGGGGGTCCCTGGTCCTTGTGCATTCTCCATCAGTCACACAGAGGATGCTATCCAAAACTTGGGGAGCTCTTAAAATTGTCCATGCCAAGAACATGAGTGTGGTATTTTTCGCTGGTGTGTTGTGCAGTGCTGGGGAGAGAGCCCAGGCCTTAGGCTGAGCCGCACCCCCAGGCCAGCGTTCCTCTCTTCCCTGGCCGTTCTAGCTGTGCCACATACAGTGTGTCACAATAAGAACCGTAAGGAAGTAACTGCACAAGAAATGTAACATTTTTACTCCACAACTTCGAATACTGTATAGGACCTTTTGAAACTAGAATTTCAGTCCCGTTGTTTCTAGAACTTCCCAACAAATTACATCAGTACATGGGCAGCTTTTCCTTTTGGCAGAACGTGTTGGTGTTGTCAGCAGAAGAAGAAACCACTGTTTTGTTGTGTTTTTCTGACCAGCGGAATGTTCATGAGAGGAAGTTGTGAACTTGTAACTTGTCAGACATGTGAAATCCTGGAGTCTTCTCAGATTATTTTAAAAATTGGGAGAAGAACTAGCCAAGCTCTGGTTTAAAAAAATTAAAACACGTGACTTTCTTCCTTTCTTCCTTTCTTCCTTTCTTTCTTCCTTTCTTCCTTTCTTCCTTTCTTTCTTCCTTTCTTCCTTTCTTCCTTTCTTCCTTTCTTCCTTTCTTCCTTTCTTTCTTTCTTTCTTTATGATAGCAAAGTTTAAGGGAGGGAAAGAAACCAGCTCTTTAGAGCAAATTTGGACCAAGCGAAAGCAGGAAAAGAATTCACCCTCCAGTGTGAGGGCTGCCGCCTTGGGAGACAGAACACAGTGGCCTTTCTCCGTTGTTTATTATTGAGAAGGAATAATAGAACAAACTATACCTGAACAGTGTCAGCGTTGGAGGAAGTGAAAACAAAATATAGAGTCATTCACACTGTACACACCGGACCTGCCCTGGGAGGGAGGAGGCAGGCGCAGGCCTCCGGGCCTCTGACTGTGAGGAGAAGGCAGAGTAGATTCAGACTCTGAATCCTTGCTTATTCCCAAAAGAGGCAGCGGTGTCCGTAAACGCAGGCGGGAGTATAGACTGAAATAACAAGTTGCAGTTTCTATAACTTAAAAATAACTGTAACATAATAAATAAGTCAGTACTGAAATGTCATTTTACCTGGTCTTTGCAAAGGATTCAACTTTACTTATGGTTCAACTATTTAATAAATGTAGTCCAGACATTTAAAAAGTGCTAATTCCCAAGCCAGGCATGGTGGCGCACGCCTGTAATCCCAGCACTTGGGAGGCTGAAGCAGAAGGATCATTGTGAGTTCGAGGCCAGCCTGGGGTATGTAGTGAGCTCAAGACTACCCTGAACTGCATAGTGAGACCCTGTCTCAAAAAAAAGGGGGAGTAATTCCCGTAGTGGTAATCTAAACAGCTTAGTAAAAAATCAGTATTGTGTAACATCTATTATAATATGTATAATTTTAGTTTAAAACAAATACCATGTTTTATATTTTAATATTGTTGTTACCATATTTTTTTGGCTTGAAAGCCACAAATCTCCTTTATGAGAATATTGTTTTTAAAAAGTTTACTGCTGTAGTAGTTATATATTAATAAAGAGTTCAGTTTTCAAACACATAAAGATATCTTCCTGGGTATAGCCATAATGTAAGTGAAAAATCTAGATTAAATCTTTAATTCAGAAGTAAGTGTAGAAGAAAGGCTTATAAGTAAAATCTGCAGTTAGAGCTATGTTTTCAAATTTGAGTCATTTTTTGTGTAATAAAAACAATCTCTGAAATTTCTGCAATCAAGGATTGATAAACCCTATACACAGTAGAGAAATTACAAGGTTTTTTTTAGATAGATCAAAACATTTTAAAATATAAAGGGAGCAACAGGAACAAGGCACCTATTAGTAATAAGCACAGAAAAATCTGGTTTTGGTGGTAGGTGTAGAAATTAAACCTTCTTTAATGAAAAACAGTAAAACACAGGGAGTGAACGGGCAGAGGAGAGGCTGCCTTTTACATAAACTAGGAGGGGCGTGTGCTTTTTGTACGTGAAGCTGAATGATTTCCTGGAATCTCTACGAAAGAGAAAATGGTGTTTTATTTTGTTTTGTTTCCTTGAAAACATGGCAGTGCCAATTCTTTGCTCCTAAATCACTGCCGTGAAGCGCTTTTCTCAGGCTGTTCTCCTGCCAGAGAGCTGGCACTGCCCGGCACTCGGCAAAAGCCTGTTAGAGAAGTTATGCGAGCCCAGCGCGTCCTCGTGGAAGCGCTGAGCTCCCATAGGCTGCAGCCTCCGCATCTGTTCCCGGGTGCCAAGCCTCGGAATGCGCAGAATTCATGAATTGCAGATGAGAGTGTGAATAGGAAGGAGAGACCACTGATGAGAAACGCACGTATCCGGGACACGGCTGGGCTTCCTGGCTCTAGACACTTGCTGCGTAATCTATGCTGTCTGCCGTTTTTTAAGTGTAATGAATATTTGCAGTGGTAGTGGGAGAAATGTAAGAGTGAATGTCGTTCCAGATAAACCAAAGATGAAGTTCCAGGGTCCTTGCTATATTTATTTATTCTCCAGGGGCGCTGGCTCTGTGCTCACTCTCCACTCGGTTGTCTCAGTTACAGAGCAGGCCGCTTTGATCTTGTTAGTTCTTGATGGTGTTGCCTGTGGTCTAGGAGTAAACACACACGGGCAGCTTCAGCAGAAAACGGCCTCGTTGAGGGGTATAATGTCCATGACCTCTCGTCAGATGCTTTCTGAACTCACAGCTGGAGCTGTAGATCACGGTGGTCTCATGGAGTTTTTATATTTTCTAGTACAGATGCCATTCTGTAGTGAAACAACCCAAGTACCAAATGATAAAGACAGAGAAGAGACCAGAAGAAATGATAGTTAAGGGTCTGTATGTGACTTTGATAATATGTCGCGTTTTACATTCCAGCCATAAGATATTTTATAACCTATGCCTGAATTACAAAACTTTTGCTCATCAGTGAATAACAGTAACAAGATGAAGAAAATGAGAGAGAATGTGATTGGAATTAAATGCTAAATAACCCTTCTTTCTTGTGTTATAGGCATGCGTATCATTCTGTTCCCAGTCCCCCTGTGTACCCTGCAAAAAATGTTGCTGACTTGAAAGTCCATGTGACAGCGTCGTCTCTGCAGAGCTCGGATGCCGTTGTCATCCATCCTGGGGCCATGCTTGCCATGCTGGACCTCCTGGCCTCAGTGGGGTCAGGGACGCAGCCAGAGGTGAGCGCAGATGCTCAGCTCCTTCCGGCTCTAAGGAGTGGAAAGATGGGTGTGTTTGCATGAGCAGGGCGGTTGGGGAAGAGATGCTACATACATGTACTGAAGTAGGTAAATGCAGATAAAAGAGAAAACAGGATTCTCTTTGAGTGAAGGACGATACATATATTTTTTGGAGGGGGATTAATATATATACGTATATACTATGTATTATATATATGGTGTCTTGATTACTTTTCTCTTGTTGCTGAGACAAAATACTTGAGGCCCAAAATTAAGGAAGGAAAGGTTTATTTAGCTCACAGTTTGCGGAGGTTTCAGTCCATACTTGGCTGGCTCCAGGGCAGAGTGGCACATGGCAGAGGGCAACTGTTCATGGTGGTGGAAAACAGCCGAAACAACCAGAGCAAAAGGGAGGAAAGGCAGCAAGCAGCCTCTTTCTCTCCCTTAATATGCAAACTCTCCGCCCCAGGGCGGATGTAGCACTCACACTCATAATCCAAGCATTGAATCGTGAATCAATCATAAACTCTAAAAGGCCTCCCATGATTGCATAAGGCTTTGAGGGGACATCCAGACACAAACCATAATGTATAGTTTTAGGATATAATCATTTGTTAGAAGTGTAATCCAGATAGTTAACTTCTGTTCCTGGGATAATTGTTTCCCTTGTAAATCCTTCTCAACAGTAGAAACTGTTAGTGGTAAAGGAAGAAAAATGACCAAAGGTACTACACTGATGTTATTATTTGGATGTGTAGCACTCAAAAATAGGAGTTTGGGTTGTGATTTTTGTGAAAATGTTGTATGGCTTCTAAGATCTAGAGTGTTAAAAATGTAAATGATAGGACTTCCTTTAAGCTAGTATATAACTCATCATGAAAAAAGATGTTACGCGCACTTTTTCTTTAAAAGTAGGACTATTACGAGTTTTGTAGCTATAGAATGCTGAAAAATTGTAAGAGAATGGAGTCTAGGTAGGTGGGTTCTAGCAAACTTAAAATAGGAAATTTTTGCCTAGCCCTGTTCCAGAATTGCTGTACCATTCTAAGCCAGTTCCTTAATTTATCTGAATGTATTTTGAAAGTTCTACAGACCTCATATTAAAGGTGTGTTTCAGCTGGCTGTGGTGATGTATGCCTATAATCCCAGCTACACAGGAGACTGAGGCAGGAGGGCCACAACTTCAGGGACAGTCTGGGCAAGTTGCCAAGGCTGTATCTCAAAATAAAAAGTAAAAACAGCTGAAATGTAGCTCACTGCAGAGGTCCTGAGCTCATTACTGGAAAAAAAAAAAAAAAATAGGTGTGGTGATGTACACCTGTAATCTCAGTATCAGGGAAACTGAGGCAAGGGGATCTAGAACTCAAGTCCTGCCAGAGAAACTTAGCAACACCTTGTTTCAAAATAAAAAATATAGAGGGCTGGGGATGTAGCACAGTGCGAAGGCCCTGAATTTTAATTGTATTACAATCAATTTTGCAGCACTACAGAAAGTAAAAATCAAAACAAAAAAAAAATAACTAAAAAGTAGAGATATAGCTCAGTGCGCATGCGCACACACAGACTAAGAAGAGACATGCTTCCTGTAGAAAGAACCGTCCCTCATTTTACCAAGAATGCCCTGGTGACATGGACCTCTTTGTTGCCTTTAGCACGCTCTGGACCTCCAGCTCGCGGTGGCAAACATTTTGCAGTCCCTGGTGCACACGGAGAGAAACCAGCAGGTCATGTGTGAAGCCGGTCTTCACGCACGGCTGCTGCAGAGGTGCAGCGCAGCCCTGGCTGATGAGGACCACGCGCTGCACCCGCCGCTGCAGCGCATGTTCGAGCGGCTGGCGTCACAGGCCCTGGAGCCCATGGTGCTGAGGTCAGTGGTCTCCCCCTCCTCCTTTGCACACAGGCCACATGACTGCGTGACGCAAGCACACGCGCCCTAGCACGCAGTGCGGGTACCATGGGCAGAGCAGCAAAGGACAGTGAAGATGGACAGGACGCTCAAAGGGGAAACCTAGAACAAATCTCCCAAGCGGCCGGCAGGGGTTCTGCCCATCCATTACCTCAGACACTTCATTTCCCCTTAAAAATAGTCTTCTTTAATATGGGTAGGACTTATGTCTATGGAAGGACTTTTCATATACCAGAACCTTTTAAAAATGCCTTTTAAACGTTTTATTTTGAAAGAATCCTATACAACAGTAACTTGTAAAGGCAGTGGGTCAGGTTTCCTGTTCTCTACACCCAGTGTCCCCCGGTGTGGCACTGCCTTGCCAAACTGCAGTGCAGTATCAAAACCAGACATTGATACCAGTGTGAAGTATGCAAGTTGGAATATAGTGCTGTCCTATGGCCTGATGTGTCCATGTATGGAACCGCCACCCGATCTGGGAGTCACAGAAACATCCCTGCTGCCGCCCCCTTAGTGTTCTTCCCTGTGGTCCACTGTCCCAACCCTTGAAGACCACAATTCTGTCCCCTATCCCCATGATTTTGTCATTGTGAGGGTGTGTATATAAAATCAAACAGTACAAGGCCTTTGAGGATGAGCGCTTTTCCTACCACAATGCTCTTGACAGGCATATGATGTGTTACACGCATCAGATTTGTTCCTTTTGGTGCTGAATAGTATTCTAGGTTGTGAAGGTACCACAGTTTGTGAATCATTGAAGAAATACACACACACACACACACACACACACACACACACATTCATCTGTACTTTTTATTGCAAGAGAAAGAGTGCTGTATGTTTTATAAATGGAAGTTGCTGGTTGCTATTTTGAAGCTTCTGTACATTCTTCGAAATTACATAGCTCCTTGCAGCGGAAAACTCATATCTTGTCATTTTGGAACTCTAAAGCACTCTCTTTATTAGATTACGTCTATTGTTAAATTACTTATAAAACTTCAAGGAGCTTTCTTAAAAATGGTTGAAATTTATTTGAAATTTTTAAGCTGACTTCAAGCTGCTCATAGATTGACAAAAGGCTGTGCAGTAAACATGTATGAAATGGTGATGTGATCTAGGCCCTGACGATAGCAACGAGGCTGCGTGAGACAGACATGCTCATCTCATCTGTCGTCTGTGGACACGTTCACAGTCCTGCGTCTTTGAAAATAGCACTGATATTTTCCCTGATTCTTTTTGGCACACTTTGAAGATTACCAAAGCTAATTACCAAAAAGGAAGGAAAGAAAAGTCAAGTGATGGTACAGGAACTTGGCTCCTTGTAAGCCATGGGTTGTAAATTACTTGCTTATACCATTTGGCATGAAGAACTGGCTGAAGGGATCTGACTTTTTAAGCCTTTGCTTCCTGCCATTGGAAACTGACAAGTCTTGTGTGCTTTTTACTTGATGTCATACGTGATAGGATCTTAAGGAATCCCACTGTGCGGAATTCCTGGACAGTTGGTGACATCTGCCCAGCTGTTCCAGGAGCACACGGCCTTTAGATCCTGGCCCCTCCGAATAGTCTCTGCTTTTGTTGCTGCTTGAAGTAAGAACACAGCTGCTTGTTTTGTGACGATCATAGATGTATCCATTACTAGTTTTTCCCAATGCAGAAATGAAATTATCCATTTTTGGGCAAGCCTGCTGCGTGGCAGATACTGGGAATGTACTGGTGGGCAAAAGGAAGCATCATACTCTGAAAAAATGTATAGTCTGGCAGGCAGGAAATTAAAATGCCGTATGCTGAGTTCTACAATAGTAGTGTTACTGAGTTGATATAAAATCTGCTTACCCAGATTCGGGGAGGGAACCTTAGAGGAGGCTTTGTAGCGGAAATGACAGTGAAGAAATAAAGTATGGGAAGGAGTTGGCCAGAATTTCTTCTTAAAGTAGAGGTAAAGAATAATCTCAGTGGTGAGAAACAGCATTTGTAGAATGAAGCAGGCCTGGAACAGAGTGTGTGAAGGGACAGGACTGAGGTGGAAGTCTCACCCTGGGGTGCTGTGTGCTGAGCCAGCTTGCGGGTGGTTTGGAATAGAGGCCCACTCCAGGGGCTCGTGCAGCAGAGTGAGGTGGGATGCGTGTTAATTTTGAAAGATAATAACTATAGTGGAGGTCAGGATTAGTTGGGACAAGGTTGGAGACGCAGGAAGTAATGAAGGCTGTTTCAGCTAGTCCTAACATTGTGGGAGGCTGAGGCAGGAGGAGAAGTCTTGAGTATGAGGTGATTAGTAATTTTGTAATTTAAAGTAGTAATTAATAGTAATTAGTAATAAGTAATTAGTAATTTAATGTAGTCAGGGGGCCAGGGATTTAGCTCAGCAGCACAGCTCCTGCCTGGTAAGTCCAAGGTCCTAAGTTCAATTCCTAGTACCAAATAAATAAATAAATACATAAACAAACAAACTAGTCTGTTATAATGCATTAAATCCTATTTTTTGTGTTTGGCTTCTGGGTTATACAATATTCCCAAGCAAGGAGTAACTGCTGTGTCTCTTTCCTAGGGAGTTTTTGCGTTTGGCAAGTCCTCTAAATTGTGGTGCCTGGGACAAGAAGCTGCTCAAACAGTACAGGGTCCACAAGCCAAGTTCCCTGAGTTACGAGCCAGAGATGAGAAGTAAGTGGACTGCTGGCCTTCCCTCTGCTGCCTTAGATTAATATCATTTTAAAGAGCTTCTAAAGGAAAGGAAGGGGCTTGTTATTTCAGTGGAGATGTACAGGTCAGTTAACAAGCAGGGGCACAGGCAAGGCAGGGACTGACTGACTGTACAAGCGCTTAGAGGGGAGGAGAGTTACAAGCCAGACCCCCTTGGCTTGAAGGGGAAAGGCCTGTAAGGAGGTGCGTGATTTCCTACCTTTGTCAAGTAATCTTGGCAGCCTGGACCAGAGTGGCTGATCTGCGGCCAGGTTGCGGCCTTGCTTGTAGGATAGCTGCTGCCGGAAGATGTGGAGGGGAGGGAACCTGAAACACTGCTAAAAGCAGTTAAAGGTGTGCGCCACGGCATGGAAGCCCATTAGGCGAGGAAGTAAAGCCAGGTGGCTTCTGCAGAAAGCTGGACACCAGCCCCACTGGAGGAAAGGCGGTCCTGGAGCCGGAAGCGAGGCCATAGGCCAGTCTTCCTGTGAGCTTGCCACCGCCGGACAGGGGCAGGAACCCACCCAGAGAAGGTGGAGAAGGGGCATGGAATCAGCAGAGGCCCTCGGGGAGGTGTGGTACGTCTGAGGAGGAGGTGTCCACTAGGTTGCTAAAGAACAGCCTGGGAATCATCGTGCAGGGCCCCCACCCCCCCAACCAGTCCATCGCAGAGCATGGAGACCATAGGCCCCGTCACCCAAGAGCTGGTACGGGCCTGGAGCCCAGCTGCGCCGGATTCTCTTACCAGGTGAATTCCGCGGTTCCCATCTCTTTCATTTAGTAATTGGTTTCACATAGTTAGTCGTGTGATAAGGCATTAGTTTGCTGGCTTAAGATGAGCATTACCAGGGAAACAGACAAAGGGAATGCTTAGGAAAATGCAACAGAACGCCACTTTGAAGGCAGGTAGTGATCCTCTAGATCCACATCCTCATTTTTCAAGTGAGAATTTGGAAGTCAGATTAACAACTTTCAACAACTGTTACTTCCATCTTAATCTTTTATCCTCCTCGGGAATGCTGTGCCCTGGAAATATTAAGATCTTTTGAGTTCAGCATAGGTTTATTGGAAAACAAGTTATATAGTTTTTCATGTCAGGTAATATGTAGACCGTCTATGCATTTTTCTGTTACTGTTACTTTCGGACAGTACTTTCATAGTTCTTGAGAATTGAGTTGTGATTTCCTTTGCTAAGAGTAAAGCACAAATAGCTGCTTTCCCTAAGAGGGTATTAAAATATTTTTATAGTTGCTTGAATGTCCAGCACTTTTAAGAGGAAAACGGACATATGTATTCATGTGGTTCATTGTCAGAGGGAAAGTTTTCTCCTGTACGTTCATGATGCATTTCTGGAAAGAGAACAGTTTGCTTAGAATTTGTCTTTTCAGTCTTGAAATTGTTACCATTCACATACATAGACAAGGGAAGCAATTTACTTCTGTTTATCTGAGACTTTTTCGTATGAAAAATAACTTTTTTCTGTTATAATGCTTTGAGAATACTTTTCCTTCTTCTCAAAGTGGAAATAATGAAAAGTAGTTTTGTAAACTAAAGTATAGCCTGGTTTGTAAACCACTGATTGAGGTGTATAGCCACATTGAAACAGTGGCTTACAGGGTGATTACTGGTGATTTTTCTTCTTATTTATACTGAATAGTTCCCAAGATTTCTATCATGTGCACATTACTTTAGTGTTATATTAAAAAAGAACACAGCTATTTAAGTTTAGGAAGGAACATAAGGTAATTGAAACTGGATAATGGCCTTAATATTTCAAAAGAGAATAATTATATTTTATAATTAAAGAGTAGTAGTACTTGAAGACAAATCATATTTTTAGATTCTACATGCTAATTTACCCAAGAGGCTTTCTCTGATTTCTAGGTAGCATGCTCACGTCTCTGGAAGGTCTGGGTTCCGATAACGTGTTTAGCTTGCATGAAGACAACCATTACCGAATCAGCAAAAGCCTGGTGAAGTCTGCAGAAGGAAGTACGGTACCCTTGACCAGGGTGAAGTGTCTGGTCTCCATGACAACCCCACATGACATCAGACTCCACGGGTCCTCAGTGACTCCTGCTTTTGTTGAATTTGACGCATCCCTTGAAGGGTTTGGGTAAGGCAATTGTGAGGTAGCCACGCCTGGGTCTGTAATTTTTTGTCTTATACTTGCTTTTGCAAATAGATGTTAGGTTTTAAATCTAATTGATTAAAATACAGTCTGACCAAAAAAAAAAAAAAAAAAATACACACTTAAGGAAAAGAAAATCTTACAGAAATATTTTAATACTGAATTTATCGAGATGACATGAGATGAATACGAGTTACCTCTGGCCTCAACAATTACAAGAGGTTCTCAAAGTGGTGGCCATGAGCTTCCACACATTTATTAGTATGGCGAACTGCTGCTTGGGTAACCTTGGTCACTGAGATTGCTGCACATGCATTTTGAATTGTTTCTGTAAGGGCTGGCAATGTGGTGGACACACGACATCCTGCAATGTTAATATACAACGTCCTCTAGGGTCTCCCATTTAAGGGTCACACCATCATAGCTAGTATGAAAACACAGCATACTAGTTTTCTTTTCCTGAAGAGTGTGTACATTTTTTGGCAGATTCTGTATATATAGTATGGTATATACTATACCATATATTTCCACAGGATTTGATCATGCTGTTTTAAATTTTCTATATTTATTACATTTAAAATTTTTTCATTAGTACATATTTATAGTACATAATGTTTACAGTTCTCATGTGGATTTGGTACATGTACATAACACATCTTAATTCTTTAGTTTAGTTTTCTGTTTCTGTTTTTGTTTGTTTGATTTTTGAGATAGGGTCTCACTTATATAGTCCACGCTGGCCCCAAACTCACAGTGATTCTCCTGCCTCAGCCTCCTGACTGCTGGGATTACAGGCATGTGCCACCATGCCCAGCCACATTTTAATTCTTTTTTCATTCTTTTCCCCCAACTTCTTTCTTTTCCCTCCATCCACTGATCCCCTTCCCATTAGAAAAGATCTGTCTCCCTCCTTCCTATTACCTGTTTTTTTAATAAAGGAATCAATGGTTTTAAGGCCCATGAGCCAAATCTGTATTTACAAAAACCCGTAAGGTTTTTGTAAGTGTTACTGTTTTGTGCATTTGTTTTCATTGGAACACAGCCGCACTCATTCATGTGTGACCTGTCCAGTGGTTTTGTTGATAGGGCATGGGGTGGGTGGCTATGAGTTGCAGTGTGTGATGTATGTCCTCCAGCATCTTACAGAAGGTTTGCTGCCTTCTGACACAACAAATAAATGTATGGGTAATACATAAATTAAAATAGGTCAACAGATCTTTGACTAGATTTTATCACCATTCTGTTCTTCAAATTACCATACTCTCTTATACATTGTAAGGATGTAAGTACACATTCAATGACTCATTTTACATTAAATTTCAAAGAAGGCACTCAGATGTTAATAGATCTAACAGCTAGGTAATAAAGTTTATGTGATATTGTTGGCCTTTTTGATTTGTTTGTTGGGTTGGTTTTTTGAGACAGTCTCACTGTCACTCAGGTTGGCCTTGAACTCATTCTGTAGCCCAGGCTACCCTCAAACTCACAGCAGTCCTCCTCCCTCAGCCCCCTGAGTGCTGGGATTACAGGCATGCACCACCATGACTGGCCTGTTGGCCTTTTTTAAATGTAGCTATGAATCAACAGGAACTTTTTCTCCTTTAACTAATAACTGGATTGATGAGCTATTGGAACATTATAACTTGCGGTGTACTGGGGTTTATAGGATTCTCACATGTTGATCTAACTCTGTAGTTGTATTTTAAGAATATTCTAGTAGGTCATCTTCAAATCATAGGTGTGTGGGGATTCTTTGGACCAGGGCATCGGTAAGAGGAGTGACTGATACGGTGGGCGAGTTTTTTGCAGGGATGGGAATTTTTCTGGTGTCTTCATTGAGATTTTAGGTTTATGGGTTTTACATATGCAAATCGTACCTTAATTTTTAAAGAATTTAAGCATGAAAGGATACTATGACAGATTTTAAGTCTATCACTTGATAATCTCACGTGATTGACAGGTAGGTAGCGTTTTGCTAGGCACCCAGTTTCCTGGGGACCCGTGGTCTCACCGTGCGGTGTCCTGGCGGCTTCCCGCGCAGGCTCACCCTCCCGCCTCGCTGGGCGGCAGTTACCTCTGATCTGTGTGTTGTCTCTGCCTCCACAGCTGCCTGTTTCTGCCCAGCCTGGCCCCTCACAACGCTCCCACAAATAATGCCGTCACCACGGGGCTCACGGATGGCGCTGTGGTCAGCGGCATTGGCTCCGGTAAATATAAGACCCATTTTCCTTATCAGATTGTGTTTCAGTGGATATTCTCTTTAGGGTTCATGTGCTTTGGTTGACCGCTTTTTAGCCTGCAAATGTGAGTCAGAAGAAAATCTCTGATTGTGATTTCCCTTCACCACGATAGGCGAGCGATTCTTCCCCCCGCCGTCTGGCCTGAGTTACTCCAGCTGGTTCTGCATCGAGCACTTCAGCTGTGCCCCGCACCACCACCCGGTCCGCCTGCTCACCGTGGTGCGGCGGGCCAACTCCTCGCAGCAGCACTACGTGTGCCTGGCCGTGGTCCTCTCCGCCAAAGACCGCTCTCTGATCGTCTCCACTAAGGAGGAGCTGCTCCAGAACTATGGTCAGTGTTGGTCTTTTCCTGTTCGCTTCCTTTGATTCTACAAGCATTAAAACTTCAGCTTGATATTTTTAAGGTCCGGCTGTTACTTCTTTTCCAACTTAAAATCACATAGGACAGGTTATGGGAAGTCTGAGTACTTTACCAGTGAACTGTGAGGCGTTTTCAAAAGACACAGAAGCTGAGGATATAGCTCAGCAGCACAGCACTTTGCTTGGCAAGCGCAAGGTCCCGAGTTCGATTCCCAGTACGGAAAAAAACAATACAAAACATAAAAGACTTAGAAGATATCAGGAGGGGGAGCATGAGGAAGACTCCACCTCTTGCTGAGAATCAAGAGTGTTGCTCAGAAAGCAGCTCGCTTGTTGGTTATGTTTTGGTAAAGGTGACTGACTACGAATTCTGCTTACATCGTATTCCTAGTGTGCCTCCTGCCGCAGGTGCACACAGTGTCTGACTCTTGTCCGGAAGGTACCTTCAGGACTTCAGGGGCGCCGGTTCATACCCAGATCCCACACATGTCATTCCCTCACATTCTCACACAACAGAACGCACACGAAATCGTTTATCAGGCTCTTCCGAGATGACATCGATAACGTATAAATGCGTGTGAATGTGTATTTTAAAATCATCTCCTGTGTTTGCTGTCTTAACTAGATAAAATGTCACATAGGATCGTAAGTGGCTGGGACTCGGCAGATGTTAACTGAATGTGAATGTTTTCCCGTTAGACTGTAAGAGTTCTTAGCCTTTGAGGTGCCCAGTTCAGAGCTAAGCCTTGGTGAAACTGGTTCTTTAAAATTGTCCTCCTCAGGGGTGGGGACAGAGCTCGCTGGTGATAGGGCTCTTGCCTGCCATGCCCTGGGCCCTGGGTTCAGCCTCTGGCGTCACACAAATGAATTAATTAAAATGAATGGTTAGCACACTTTATTTGCTGCTTGGTGACATTTGGCCCTCTCGATTTCTCTCTGCTCGTTAACCACCTCAGCCTTGCGCTGGGACACACTCTTGTGCTGCCACTTTTCCACAGTTTGCTGCAGTAGCGTCCCCTCCATCAGCCCTCGCCATCAGTAGCCTCTCAGATGTCACCTCTGGCCTTTGCTCTCAGTCTGCTCTTTATGAGGAAGAAAACGTCATCAAATTATATTGACTCCTAGGTCTTCTTATCCCAGGGACCGTGAGATCAGGGCTGTTTAATTCATCTGTATCCAAAGCTGTGATGGACCTGCACGTGAGACATCTCCGTGTGAAGTCTTCCAGAAACCTCTGTTTCCTTTCAGACCTGCCTGTCTTAGATTCCTGGTTTGATACATGACACCCACTGCTAGTTAATTAGCCCAGCTAGAAAATGGAGTCAGCTGAAAAACAGCACTCCTTCCACCAAGTCTGACTCTACTCTGTCTCCTTGGGATTCCTGGAACCTTCCTGAACTCTCATGCTCACTGTCCTAGTCCTTGTGGGGCGTCATCATCCTCACCTCAGATCTTGATTTTCTAGACTTTAATTCTCTGTCTTGTCTGTCTGCCCTACAAACTTTGTTTTGAAGGAAACCCGGGCCCCTAAAACAGTGCCTCGCATGTATGAGGATATAGTTGTGATTTACATATAGAGATACATGAACAATATATAAATAATATATATATGATATATAAATAATATATAAACAATATATGAACAATATATAAACAAATATATAAGCAATATTTATGTATAGAAATATATAAACAAGAACTAGACAGTCTGAGGAAAAACAACGAAAAAAGTAAACAACAGTGGGAAAATTGAAGAAAGGATAGAATTTAATCAGAAAGTGAAGGAGCAGACCTAGAGATATATCCGTATACTAAGTGTAGTGTGCCGTGCTCCTGGAGTGATACATGGTTAGAAATGAGAACAGCATATACATTGGCATTTGCAGCAGCTACCTTCTGACCGCTGTAACCTTCAGGCTGCCTTAGAAGAGCTACCTGGTGGCCACTAAGGTACCTACAGATCAGTCAGCACCGGAAACGTCCTAGCTCCAACCGAAGTCAGAAAGGAAGCTCGCGCAAATATTATAGGTAATACGATCTTTAAGCCTCAAGGGTTGCAGTTTATTAGCAAAGAAGGGAAAGATTCTTCACTGCACCCATTTATCTTGGAGTTTCTTGTTTGTATTTGGCGTGTGTGTTTGTGTACTAGGGTATCAAACGCTGGGTCTCACGCATGCTGAGTGTGTGTGTGTGTGTGTGTCCTCTGCCCCTGAGCTACACCGTTAGTCCCCACGTTTATCTTTTTTCCACTTCCCTTGCGTCCTCACTCTAGACCTCGAAGGCTGCTGAACCTACCCTCTACCTACTTTATTCATTTCTGTCCCTCTCATAAGTTACCTTACAGATGAGATTTGCTGTGTAGTAGTTTTAAGGTGCCAGCAGATGTACAGAAATCTCATTTCAAAATATAACTTTAGCATGTCAGAGTAGGAAGATATTTTAATATTCTAAAAATAGAAATGAATATTTTATTACTAGTTCTTTCATATTATTTAAACTTTCAACTATATTTGCGTGTATGAACTTGTTCTTTAAAAAGATAAACTATTGGATCCTGTTTAGATAGATCTTTCTTGATTTTTTTAACACCTGGCTTTCCTCTCCTGTCCTGCCTGTCTTTGAATACTTAGAGGAGGTAGGGCTAGAGGTCAGCTCGGTTAGGGCACATGCTAGCCACGCCCCTGGGTTTGATCCTTAATATAACAAAAAAGGTAAATTAAATTTTAATCAGCTTAACATTGAAACGAAATGAACGTAAACCCAGTATTTCTTAGTATGGTCTGGCAGCACCCTGGGTTGCCAGGCTCAAGTTAGGACATAGTTGCAGAATATTAGCAAACATTCGAGTTAGAGAGTCATTGCGGACTATCAGTAAATCAGCATTCGCGCATACGGTACAGAAGTGTCTGGTGTGAAGTAGGAGCTCAGATCACAAAAGCTCTCCTTTATACCCCAGGTCACCTCCTTCCTACCAGCTGTGGTTAGTAGACTGTGTGGGCTGCGCACCCACAAACGAGCAGCAGATGGCTGCCCCTCGTGCCTGTCCGTGTAGCATAAACGAGGGTCCTTCAGCTTTCCTTACTTCTCTTTCCAACCCGTGTCTTACTTGAATGTCTGTCAAAACGTTGTACCGTACCATCCCCGGCTGTAGATATGATGGTACGGGGCAGAAGGTATATTTCCCGTTCCTCCCACCTGGAGCCCATTGCAGCTACCATTCCATTCTGTACGTCTGTGAACTCACTGTTTTAGATCCTTCATATAAGTAGAATCATACATTATATGTCTTTCTCAAAATAATTGCTTGTTGTACTTAGCACAGTGCCCTGAAAGTGTATCCATGTTGTCGCGTATTGTAGTATTTCCTCTTTTTTAATGCTCAGTCGTGTTCTATTTCATGTAAATAAACACTGCATTCTCCTTACCCACTCATCTCTCAGTAGGAGTGCTGATAGAATATCTCCTCAGATCTTTTTTTTTTTTAATTTTAAAGAAAATAGTACCAAAAAAGAACAATAGCAAAATCTAGACAACACAAAGCAAGGACATTAAAAATGATACACAGTTTCAAACCAAATGATAGAGATTAACAATGGTTGTTATATTACATATTGTTATCTTCAACGAAATTGCTCAGATTACCAGGTGTAAGAATAGAAGATTGATCAAATCATTAAAGAGAATAAGAAAGTAATAATTTAAAAGAACATTAGAGACCATACATAGTGTCACTAGGCAGGATTGTAGGAATTCATTAATGGGTATTATACTGCAAATTGTTGTTGTCACATAAGTTGCTCAGATTACCAGATACAAGCATGCAAAATTGGCGAAAATATTAAAAAAAAACTTTCAATCATTAACTGTTTATGATATATATATGGATCGGTGCACAACTGTACTATATATATATGGATTGGTGGCATAACTGTACTGTTGGTGTCTGATGATTTGTTGAGGGGAACAATTAATGATTAAAAGTTTTTTTTTAATATTTTGACCAATTTGATCCATATATAGATGGATTTTGACCAGTTGATATTTTGACCAATTGATCCATATGTATATATAGATTGGTGTCACAACTGTACTGTTGAAAGTACTGAGGCATTTTATACATATATATGTGTATAAAATGCCTCGGTACATTCTTTTTCTTCTTTCCCTCATTCCGGTTGTTCCTACCTTTGAACAATTTCTTTCCCTTATTATCTATTGTACATTTTGGGTTTTATTTACTCTTTCATGTTCTTACACCAGGAAGACAATATGATGTTTACACATGTG